GTACTAGAGAAAAGGTGAGATCAAAAAGAATTAACCTAGAAGGTAACACCCATGCACAGGAAATCAATGTGAGTCAATGCCCTGTATAGCTATCCTTATCTCAACCAGCAAAACCCCTTGTTCCTTCCTATTATTGCTTATACTCTCTCTACAACAAAATTAGAGATAAGGGCAAAATAGTTTCTGCTGGGTATTGAGGGGGGGGAGCGGGAGGGGGTGGAGTGGGTGGTAAGGGAGGGGGTGGAGGCAGGGGGGAGAAATGAACCAAGCCTTGTATGCACATATGAATAATAAAAGAAAAATGGAAAAAAGAAAAAAAAAGTTCAAACCCCAGTGCCAGCAAAAAGAGAAAAATTGGTCTATGAACCTTTACCAGTATATTTCTCATCACTAATCACTGTTATCTAATGTTGCAGTTAGCATCAGCATTGGTTCAACTAAATATTTGTTGAATTTCTACTCTGCAATACACCACGAGAAGCATTGTGGCAAAACTTGCTAAAATCAATTTCTGTGTTGAAGGAGCTCACCCTATAAGAAAGTGGGATGGCTTAAGTACCAGGAAAGGAGTTAAGATTTTCAGTGGTGAGCCAAAGAGAGTTGAAGTCTTTTGATGGTTTACATCAGAATCTGTATGACTCTACAGATGCAAAAGGAGGGGTGGGGGGAATTATTTTCTATATCTGCACATTTCTACCCTTCAGATTTGTGATGTTGTTCTCATCTTCCTGTTCCTTTTAAGATGGGAAATTTTTCAAGTTCCCTGTTTTCTTTCAAATACTTGGTTTACTAGGGTCCAAGAGCATCAACAGAGATAGCTAAAGATTTCTATTTGTGATGCACTCCTACTTTAAAATTTGTGCTGGGGGCGGAGATTTATTCATTTATTTATGCATTCAGTGCTTATTGAGTACATTACTATGTAACACTGTGTTATTTAAAGATATAAAAATTCCTCCAAAGAATAGGCAGCCTGTGCAAGAGATAAAATATGAGCAATTGCCATTGATGGTGCTTAATGCTTTGACAAATTGAAACAAGCCATAAAAAAAATTTATGATAGAATAAACCAAGGGTAGGTTTTTGACCTTAGTATATAATTAGAGCTTGGTTTGGGATAACTGGAAACTTCAATTTGGTGTAACTATACAAAAGTCATAGAAATGAGCTCATTTAAATCAATGACACGTCAGTATAAAGTAAATATTATTAGTTGCCCTGGAAAAAAAAAACTGCACCATATGCAGTTAATATAATTTAAATTTTTAAGTGATACCTCTTTTGTCTATCAAGTCAATTGTTTGCTCAGTGGGATTAGGAAAATGACTTTCATCATTATTGCTGTGCACATGGATTTTACTGTTCTTACAGGACTATTAGGGCATTTGTATCTTGAGCCTTAAAAATGATTGGCTTGTTATCTTTCCATTTGAGAAATAATAAAAGAGTTATTCAAAAATATACACACAGCCAGGCATCAGTGGCTCATGCATAGCTACTCAAGAGGCAGAGATCAGGATTGTGGTTCAAAGCCAACCAGGCAAATAGTTCCACGAGACCCTGTCTCCAAAAATCCTTCTCAAAAATAGGGCCAGTGGAGTGGCTCAAGGTGAATGCCCTGAGTTCAAGACCCAGACTGCCAAAAAAACCACACAAACATGTTCTTTGGCATTATTTATCATAAAAAAATAAGGTAATGGTTAACTGTAATGGATTATGAGATCCCAATTAGATGTTTATTTTTTGGTGGGTTTTTGTTTATTTTTTTCTTGGCAGGGCCTGCACTTGGTAGTCAGTCACTCTACCAGTTGAGCTACTCCACCACTCTTAATTAAGTTTTATACATAGCATGGTGTTAGTTTAGGCTCTTTAGTTAAAATTTACACAGTTCTAGACTTCATTTATTAGCTATTTGAAACTGTGTCAAGAATTTATCTTTTCTAAGCCTCAATTTTCAAATTCTGTGAGTGAAATTTAAGAGAGAGAAAGGATGTATGGTGTTTTACACAGTGCCTGGTGCAGAAAAAAAAGAACTAAAAAAAAGCTATATTTTTCATTCCTACTTTATTGTTGCAGAAGCCATTATTACCAGTGCTCATTTTGTCCTCTTATATGCTAAACAAAAGTCCCAATAGGTTCAGGCCCGCTTTCCCCATTTCCTAAATTGTTCAAAACAAACAGACTTGCTGTATTCCATAGTTGAAATATTTTACCATTAGGTTATGTAAGTCCAGGGGAGTAAGGTCAGGAGAGAGAAAGCCTCATAACTTCCCTTTGAAAACTTCATCATATGGAAGGAAGTCACTGTCTCTTATCTCCACAGCCTTTTAAGTATTTATCTGATACCTCTTCCCTCTTATCTGCCTCCCTGCCATGTTATTAGACACATATATATGGGATTGTTATGTGACTATAAATGTATGTGCATTAAAAATATAGGAAGTAAATTTAAAATGATAACGGGTTATTTTTAATTCCTTAGCTTCTTTTTTAATCAGCTTTTCTACAGTGAATATATGCTCTTGAAATGAATGCTACAGATATTATGTAAATGTCTTTTGGTAGGATTTCATTGAGGTTGGTTGCAAGGATACTCAGAGCTTAGAGGAACTAAGAGCAAAAATACAGAAATGAAAGCAGGTTATTTTGTTATCAGAAGGGCACTGTGATCTGAGACTTTCTCTGTATTTAGAGGTCATGGACACAAAGTAGCTTCCTCATATTTATATATTATGTTGTTTTAAGCATGAGTTATCCCCTTAGGATCTTATACTCACAAAGAAATCCAAGCATTTTTATGAGTGATAATGATTATAGGAAATGTTTATTTCTTTTTTGTTTGTTTATAGTAAATCTGATATGTCTCGCTTGCGATTAGCTGCTGGTAGTGCCATAATGAAGCTTGCTCAGGAACCTTGTTACCATGAAATTATTACCCCAGAACAGTTTCAGCTCTGTGCACTTGTTATTAATGTAAGTAACAATCTTGTTTTTGTCAAATACGTCTCTTCAACGTTAAATCCACTTACTTTTTTGTTTTGTTGGTCGTGTGTGTGTTGTTCCTGGGGATTGAAATCGGGGCCTCTGTGCTTGCTAAGCAGGTACTCTACTGCTTGAGCCAGACACCCCCAGCCCTTTTTTGCTCTGTTTAGTTTGGAGATAATGTCTCCCTTTTTGCCCGGGCCAGCCTGCACCATAATCCTTCTATTTATGCTTCCTCTGTAGCTGGGGTGACAGGAACACACTACCACACCCAGTGTATTCTCTTGAGATGGGTTCTTAGAACCCATCCTCCCAATCTCTGCATCCTGCATAGCTGTCTGTTCAGTTTTGTATGGATACAGATTCTCTGGGCTGAGGTGCGGTAAGGGAGGTTTAAACTCAAGGGCCTCACGCTTCTTAGACAAGCACTCTACCTCTTGAGCCATGCCCCCAGCCCTGTTTGCTTTAATTTGTTTTTCAAATATGGGATTGCCCTCTGGGAGCTGGGATCATAGGTGTATATCACCACACCCGGCCCTGGATACAGATCCAACTGAACAGATTGCTGTCACCTGTTTAAATATCTCTCAATATTAAAGTATTTCTTCCCCCAATATAATTATCACATAAAAATAGACATTAAAAATGCTTGCACTGCTCTTTGTTTTTGTAAATGGTTGCCTGTTTTTATGTATGTTTGTTTTTGTTCCAATATAGGATGAATGTTACCAAGTAAGGCAGATATTTGCTCAGAAGTTACATAAGGCACTTGTGAAGTTACTGCTCCCTTTGGAGTATATGGCGATCTTTGCCTTGTGTGCCAAAGATCCTGTGAAGGAGAGAAGAGCACATGCACGACAGTGTTTGCTAAAAAACATCAGTATACGCAGGGAGTACATTAAACAGAACCCTATGGCTACTGGTAAGTAGCTGACAGTTACAAGTGTGCATGATGTGTTCAGGGTAGAGCTTATATATATCTATGGCTTATAGTAAAACTGGGAGTTTTATAGACTGCTGTCATTGTAATTATCATGTGCTTGAAAATGGAAATCCTTGATTTTGAGTCAGTATTCAGACATATTCAGCAGACTATTTTGAGTACTGCGTTTTTCTTACAGAGTGAGTAATATGGTTTGATTTTAATGCATTCTGCAGTTGTCTGAGTATATAGTTTTTTTTACTTTGCCAGTGATCTACTGTGTAATCAGTTTATCCTATTGGCTTTAATATCTTTTAGAATTCAAGTAAAACTATTTCAGTATCAACTTAGATATGTGTTGCCTCTAATCTGTAACTAACTGTGGAAAAAGTGGAAAGTGAAAGGATTTCTTGAAAGCTATTGTTGTTAATGATATTTTTCACTTTAGAGAAATTGCTATCACTGTTGCCTGAATATGTAGTTCCCTATATGATTCACCTGCTAGCCCATGATCCTGATTTTACAAGATCACAAGATGTTGATCAGCTTCGTGATATCAAAGAGTAAGTCATGTTGTTTTTCAGTAATTCCACAAATTATTTTTACTTTTTATAAAAATGCTGTTTTTGTTATCTTTCTATGGTTTTGTTCATTTCTTGCAAATTTCTGTGTGTTTTGTTTGGGAATCAATACCACTAACAATCAGTGTTGCTAGCCAAGTGCTAGTGGCTCATACTTGTTCATGGCCCAGGACTGCAAAAAAATTAATTATTAATTAATTTTTAAAAATCAGTGTTGAGAACTATGTAGTATTTCCAGTTATTTTGTTTTGTTTTATTTTCTCTGATGTTTACTTTCCCCCCTTTCCTGGTTTCTTAGTCTGCATGGTTAGTTGGGATATTCTTTCTTGCATTTGCATTGCTGATTCCAACTTCTTCATCTGTGTACAGAATTCTTTTAAGTATTTTCTGCAGTGCTGGTTTGGTGGTCATGAATTTCTTCAGTTTTGTTTGTTGTGAACAGCTTTCATCTCTTCAATTAGGAAAGATAGTTTTGCTGGATAGACCAGTCTAGCTTGAGAATTGTGTTCTTTTAGGGCTTGAAATATATCTTTCTGTGCCCTTGTTACATTTATAGTGTGTTGACAAATCTGCTATTGCCCTGATGGGTTTGCCTTTATATGTGACCTAAGGCTTGTATTTTGTAGTTTCAGTATTCATTCTTTGTTCTATATATTGAGTGTTCTTCAAACTAATCTTTACAGGCATCCTCAAAAGATGATACTCCCTTAAAAATATGCACACATATATGAAATGTTCTGTGGCAAATCTATAAACAATTATAAATTGATCAACATGTTTTATAAAAAACTGAACTTTGTATATGATACTGGATGAAAAAGTAAAAGTATGCTAAGATTGTTTACAAATGACTTGTAAGAAACTATAAAACAGCAGAACTCTGGTGGCTCATGCCTGTAATCCTTGCTACTCAGGAGGCAGAGATCAGGAGGATCATGGTTTGAAGGCAGCACCGGCAAATAGTTTAAGAGACCCTATCTTGGAAATACCCATCACAAAAAAGGGATAGTGAAGTAGCTCAAGTGGAGTGCGCCTGCCTAGCAAGTATGAAGCCCTGAGTTCAAAACCCCAACATCACCCCCCAAAAAAAAAAAAAAAAAGAGCTGGGCACCTATGGTTCACATCTGTAATCCTAGCTACTCAGGAGGCAGGGATCAGGAGGATCGAGGTTGAAAGCCAGCCCAGACAAATAGTTTGCAAGACCCTATCTCAAAAAACCCTTCTCAAAAATAGGGCTGGTGGAGTGGCTCAAGGTGAATGCCCTGAGTTCAAGCCCCAGTACCACAAAAAAAGAAACTATAAACAATATTTACTATCTTTCCCCATTATTATTTGTTTTACACTCAGGTTGGTACCTTGTATTCAAGTATCACAATTTTCTATAGTAGACATTAAGTCTTTTTCCTAAATGGAATTAATAAAGGGGTGTTTTGGTTATTGTGGGGGGTTTTTTTTTGTTGTTTTGTTTTGTTTTTATGGGGTTTTGGTGGTATTGGGTTTAAATTCAGGGGTTTGTACATGTAAGGCCCTGCCAGTTCAGTCATACTGCCAGCGCTGAGTAAATATTTTTTAAAACAACAACAACAACAAAAAAGGTGAAGAATAAAAAAAAAAGAAACTTCTTGGACTTAAGGTGACTTACCTGTAAATGAAGCATTTGAAATAGATAATTCCTGAAATGTCTTCCAATTCTAAATTTTGGTAGGACCAGAGTTTGAACTCAGGGCTTCATGCTTTCAGAGCAGACACTCTACCACTTGAGCCACACTTTGAGTACATTTTGATTTGGTTATTTTGGAAATGGGGTCTCAAGAAATGTTTGCCCAGGATGGCCTCCTGGGCAAGGTCCTCTCAGTCTCAGCCTCCCAAATAACTAGGATTACAGGAGTGATCCACCACACCCAGCAAGTGTTAGCTCTTAATCAGGATCCTGATCTGTTTTTCTTAACTTTTGTATATGATACAAGGTAGCAGTTCAGGGTCATTCTTTTGCTGTGAATTTCTAGTTTTTCATGTACCAAATATTGAAGAGACAGTTCTTTCTCCAGAATTGTTCTTGGCACCTTTTTCAACAATTGGCTGAGCCAGGAGTGATAGTATGTCCATGTAATCCCAGCACTTAGGAGGCAAAGACAGAACAGTCATAAGTTTGAGGTGAGCACGGGCTGCAGGTTTGGGTATAGCTCCATGGTAGAGTGCAAGGCTCTGGTTTCATTCCCAAGCACCACAGAAATCAGTACATAAATTGACCATGTATGAAAGGATATATTTCCCAGCTCTCAATCCTCTTCACCTTGTTGATTTATCCTTATGCCATATGAAATTATTCTATTACTGTAGATTTGTAGTAAGTCTGAAAATTGAAGTCCTACTTTTCCTGCTTTGACTGAAAGCCAAATTTTTAAAATTTCATATGAATTTTTCAGATGCATTTTTCTCATTTCTGCAAAATTGTTACTGAAGTTTAATAGGGATAACATTTAATGTGTATATCACTTTAGATGGTATTGTCTTCCTGTCTGTTAATATATAACAACTTTCTTTTCACTTAGGTCTCAAATTTTTTGTTCAGCAATGTTCTGTTGTCTTCTGTGTGCAAATCTTGCCCCTTTAAATATTTTTGATGCTATGTGAATGAAATTATTTCCTTTTTTGGGGGGAGCTATTTTCTTAATATCCATTTTGGCTTGTTCACTGCTAATATAGAGAACTATAACTTTTTACTATACAAATTTGATGGATTCATTTCTCAGCTTTTTTTTTTTTTTTTTTTTTTTCCTTTCCTTCCTAGGGTTTGAACTCAGGGCCTACACCTTGATTCACTCCACCAGCCCTTTTTTGTGATGGGTTTTTTTTTTAGATGGGGTCTTGTGAACTATTTGCCTGGGGCTGGCTTTGAATTGTAATCTTCCTGAGTAACTAGGATTACAGGCATGAGCCACTCACGCCTGGCTCATTTGTTGACTTTTTAAGGTTTTGTGTGTATGTGTGTGTTCTTTGTTTGTTTGTTTTTTGGTAATACTGGAGTCTGAGCTACAGGCCTTCCCTTTGCTAGACAGGCGCACTACTACTCTATGCCCCCAGCCCTCTTTTTTTGTTTTTGTTTATTTTTGTTGCTTTTGTTTTTAGGCAGGGTCCCCTGCTACCTCAGCCTCCCGAGTTCTGGCTGAGTGGATTTCTTAAGGTTGTCTATATGCGTTATCATTTCATCTACTAACAGAAATGGTTTGTCTCAGAGAAAGCTGCAGTCTTTCCCATTGAATGTATTATTAGTTATGGATTTTCACTATGTTCCTTTCTTGTGTTGAGGAAGTTGTCTTCCAATCTGATTAGTTCATTATGTGCTTGTTATCAATTGATGACCATGTGTGTTTTTTCCTTCATTTTGTTAATGTTGTGTATTATATTGATCAGTTTTTGTATGTTGAAACATCCTTGTTTTCTATAAATAAGTCCCACATGGTCCTGGTACACAATCCTTTTCCTAGGCTGCTGAATTCAGTTTGTTGGTTTTTGTTTGTTTGTTGAAGCTTTTGGCCTCATTTTACTTAAAAGGATAATGGTCTATAGTTTTCCTTGTTATTTACTTGTGATTCTGGGAATGTGTCCATTTCATGTAAGATATTCAGTTTCTGGAACAAGTTTTCCTAGTACCATCTTACAAACCTTTTATTTTTGTAGCATTGTTGGTAATATCTCCATTATAATTTGTTATTTTATTAATTTGACTCTTATTCTTAGTCAATGTAGCTAAAGGTTTGTTGATTATATTGATCAACAAGGGGCCACATTTTTGTCAGTTTATTTCCTCTATATATTTCATTTATCTCTGTGCTAATCTCTTATTGCTCTAGTTCTGCTAGATTTGAGTTTAGTTTTTTATCCTTTTCTAGATCCTTAAAATGGACACTTACTTTATTCACTGAAATCTTGTTCATAATCCTTGTTTTGTGTGGGCTTTGGAGGTATAGTGTCTCTGGTAAGCCATTGACCTGGAAAATTTCCTTCAGTGTTGGTACCTCCATCATCATGTACCTCCCTATTTACTGTGTTTGATAAGGACTCAGAGTTCTGAAGATTTGATTGTGATCTTTTTCTCCCAGCATTATGGTTGTTTTTTTCTGACATTAGTAGTAGCATCTTTCTTTTTTTAAGTACTCTTTATTCACTTCCTGAAACTATTCCTATTTTATAAGTAGCAAACGGATATTTCTCATGAGTTTATCTTTCTATTAGAAAAAAAGTCTCATACTGGCTTAAAACTGATTTTCATCATAATGAAGTCTAACTTTGCTTCTGGTAGCAGCATAACTACAAACACTAATCATAAAAGTAATGAGATTTTAAATCATAAGATTTCACTTTTAGGTTACCGATATACTGTTAGCTAAAAATAATTAAGTATATGATAACTGTCCTGTATCAGACTTAATTGCAGATGATCATGGCTTTCTCAATTAAGATTATCTGAATTTGGGGAAAAAAAAAAGAATAAACTGATGTCAAATTCCCAAAACAAAAAAAAGATTATCTGAATTTGGGCCGGCTGAATGGCTCAAGTGGTGGAGTTCCTGCCTAATAAGCATGGGAGTTCAGCCCCCAGCAGCAGTATATTTAAATGTGAAAAATCATATTTAAATAATGTCTTGTTTTTTTTTTTTAATTTTATCATTTTTACATTTACTCACGTGTGTAAATTGTTTGGGCCACCTCCCTCCCCCCCTTTATTGCTTAATAATGACATTTATCCTGTATTATTGATACTTGGTATGATAATTTATGAGTAGATATATTAAAAAAGAAAATATTCATAATCATATCTCCCAGTGTCCTTCATTGCTATCAAAAAATTGTTGTGTATCTTTCTACTCTGTGTTTTCCCATTCTGTCTTTACAGACCTCCTTAATAAACATTTGTAGAATACTTTTTAAGTGCTCAGTTCCGTGTCAGGTTCTTGAACTATATAAGCTTATATAGTATGGAGATTATATATACTCCCATACAATTTACCATCTAATGAGAGATGAAGAAAGATGAAGAGGCAGTTACAGTAAGATAGGTGTCATATGTGCTCTGCTGTTATGGGATGCCTAGAGCAGGACAAGCACATTACCACCACTGGGGGTGGAAGTTAAAAATAGGATTGGGGCTGGCAAATTGGCTCAAGCCATAAAAGCACTTATCTAGCAACCGTGAGGCCCTGAGTTCAAACAAAAAAAGAATTAAATAATCAGAACACTAGCTCTATGAGTGTAGGCTTCAGTCACACACTAAGGGATACCACATTTTACTGGAAAGGACAGAACATTTTAATAAAAAGATCTGGACAGCTGAGCATATACTCAGTGGTAGAGTGCTTGCCTACCATTCTTGTGGTCCTGGTTCAATCTTTAGTACTTCAAAGAAAAATATGAAAATCAGAGATCAAAGGAAAATAGTATAGTGTTAAAGAAAGAAATGTATTAAGGACAAAAACATTGTGTAGAATCAGCTAATATTTATTGGCTATTTGTTATGTGTCAAGTATTCTGCAAATGTTATCTCATTTAATTAGAATCCTGGGGCTGGGCAATGATGACTCATGCCTGTAATTCTAGCTACTTGGGAGACTGAAATCAGGAGGATTGCAGTTAGAGGCCAACCATCCCCAAAATAACCAGAGAAAAATGGACTGGAGGTGTGACCTAAGTGGTAGAGCATCTGCTTTGCAAGTTCGAAGCCCTGATAAGTTCAAACCTCAGTCCCACAAAAAAAAAAAAAGAGGAAGAAGAAGAATGATTTGTGGGATTATTCCTGCTGGTTCCATTTTACAAATGAAGTCACCAGCAATAGTAGAGTCATAAAGCTGACAAGTACCCTTTGAATTTAGTAACAAAGCACTCACTCTGTTACCTTGGCAAGGAAGTTCCCAATTAATCCAAGTGAAAGTTACATTGCCAAAGAATGAGAATACAAATATGATAGGCAAATCTTTGAAGAAATTGACTGTGAGGGCTGATGGAGTGGCTCAAATGCTAGCCTGCCTGCCTACCAAGCTTGTGGTCCTAAGTTCAAACCTTAGTATCACCAAAAAAAATTGGCAGTGAATAGGGATGGAAGAAAGCACTGGAAGATCTCTAGAAAGAATTTGTAGAATAGTATGTGGTTGGCAGTAAAAGAAAGATGGTGCTTATAAATTGAGCTGTAATCTACAAAAAGGAGAATTGGTGGGAGCATAATGATAGATAAAGGAAAAGCAATGGGAATGAAGACTTCAAGACAGTTTTACAGCTGGGAATATGATTCAAGTCATAGATGTTTGCCTAGCATCTAGGAGGCCTTGGGTTTAATCCCTAGTTCCTCCACATAATTAAATAAAGAGGTAGGCAGAGAGAGAGAGAGAGAGAACGAGAGAAAGGACTCAGTGGTAAAGTGCTTATCTAACATAGAAATCTTGATGTTTGAGACTGGTGGAGTGACTTGAGTGGTAAGAGCACCTGGCTAGCAAGCATGAGGCCCTGAGTTTAAAGCCCAGTACTGCCAAAACAAGAAAGAAAAGAAATCTTAAGTGTATGATTACATCAAGCATGTCAGCTACATGATTTTTCTCTAGTATTTTCATATTCTAGATGTAGGTGACAAGAAGCCAAATTGTTGGCTTATTCCAGGTATGAGTCTTTCAGGGCAAGTGTACCAAAAAAAAACTCGGCAAAAAAATTGGGGTTATTTCCAAAAGACTGATTGGAATGTTGGTTCATAGAGTATAAACTAAAAAGGTAATGAACAAAGAAGGAAAAGCAGAGCACATAGAGGGTAGTGTTAGAAAATTAACAAAGCCAACAGCTGAGAGTTTCACAAAAGGTTTAAGAAAATAGCTTTAATAATACAAATGCAGGCAGGAAAACAGGAAGAAAAGGGGTGTCCACAAAGTAAGATATTTATTTTAGGATTTCACTTGTGGTGGACCAGTTTGAAGGTCTGTCAAGACCTAGGAATATCTAAGGGAAGAGAGTACTTTAAACAAAGATAAAATTTACCAGAAATGAAGCATTCTATGAACTAGTGTTGGATTTGTTGGCAGAAAAATGTGGAAGGGCATAGTATGTAGTTTAGGAAAACTAATCCAAAAACTAAATGAATGCAAAAATCAAAAGGAGATTGATGACACTGACAAGGAGAGGATAGTAGGGACAGGCAAATGGCAAAATCTTAGGAATCATTTTTAACTGGAATTAGCCTCTCCTGCCCTGAGTATGCACGTTTAGTACAGTGAGTGGCAATCATTTTTAGAGGAGCTGCACTATGATTTCATTTACGGGAAAAAGTGAACATTCACTGAAGTTTATTTTCTATGGAAAGTACATTTCAGAGAGCTCAGTGAAAGCATTTGGTAAGGAGAAGAATTAGCTTCCTGGTACACGGCGAGCCCACAGCTTTATCAGAATCCACATACTATGGAGGATGGAAAATATTAGCAATCATGTTTGGGGGACCCCAAACTTTCAACAAATTCCAACTTCACAAAAACACAATCTTAGGATCTCCATTTTGCATTGTGTTGTAAGGCATGTATTGTTTTGTGCCCTAGACAGTTTCTCCAGTTGTCTCAAAGAGTAAGTCTACATTGTGTTGGTGCATGTTTATGTACTTTACATATATGTGTACATCTAAGTATACATATATACATATCTAAAACCATACCACAAGTTGTTGACAAAACTGTTCAAAGAAATGAGGCTACTTACTAGTACTGCGTTACAGGAAGAATGCTTCCTCACAGTGTCTGCTACAACTGAGAGTAATTGTAATGCTGTTGTTCTGTGTAAAGGAACAAAAACAATCTTCTAAGTTAATAGAAACTCAATAGAATTTCCAACCAAAGAATTAATAAAGTGACTCCAGGGTTTCGTATTAACAAATATAATTCCTCAAATGTAGAATGTATAAATCACTTTTGTCCAAATCAAAGCTCAGATAAAACTTGTTATATTTATGTTGTATTTTTTATTAAAAGTATAAAATCAGGGCTGGTGGAGTGGCTCAAGTGATAGAGCGCCTGCCTAGCAAGCTTGTAGCTCTGAGTTCAAACTCCAGTACCATCAAAAAAAAAAAAAATTAAGATTATAAAATCCAACCTGGTTCTAATCCTAGTCACATCTTTTTTTATCTCTTACCTTAGGTCACTTCATGCCGCTAGAAAACATTTTGAGGGGCTCTTTATGTGTAAAATGAGAAGGTTTTTTTTTCCCCCACATATTCTTTATATAGTAACTAACTGTTATTTTATTTATATTCTTTCCTATTCTGTCTTTCCTATTTTGCTACTTTGTTCAATTGTCTAGGATATCAGCAGCCATCTAGATCTAACTATATAGTTAAGAACTCTTTGCCACAGTTTACCTAATGTAAATGAGCAAGTTTCTTTTGAACTGTTATGCTAATCTCATAAAAAGATTTCCATAGAGTACATTAAAAGAAGTTCACATAGAACATTATCAAATTATTTCTCCCCTATTGATAGAGGACAACAGTTTTCCTACCTGTAAATCATCTGGACCTGGGAACTTATTAAAATGAGGCCTCATTCCCCAGATTTGTCAATTTAAATTTCCCATGTAAGACTTAAGGACTCATCAGATCCCATCAGATGGGCTTTACGTGCTCTTCCCGAGCCCAGCACAAATGGTTTGAAATGTGATTGTTTAATGGAGTGGCTGGTTACCATGCACATGGCCTCATGCACAGCACATGCTTTTCAGGCTTGTTCCTCAGCATTGCACACCAATGCAAATTGGTAAGAATGCCAAAATTGCCCATACTGCTTTGTTCATATTTGCCAGGTATACAACGCACCAAATCATCTCAGTGTCTACTGTCAGAAATTCTCATGTTAGGCTATGTTTTCATCTTTAATATGATTTAATTTTCCATTTGAAAATTTTAATTTCCATTTGAATTGAATAGCTTTAACAAGATGATATATTGCTATTGGTAATCAGGGTTATTTTTTGTAGTTTACATTTATTTTATACATTCAGACAACAGAACTTCCCAGTAAGTTATGCATTCCCAGTAAGTTAAGCAAAATCACCCACATTTAGTCTCTTCAATATATTTACTATTTAGGTGCCTGTGGTTCATGCTTGAAGTTCTAATGACAAAGAATGAGAACAACAGCCATGCCTTTATGAAGAAGATGGCAGAGAGCATCAAGTTAACCAGAGATGCCCAGTCTCCAGATGAATCCAAAACAAATGAAGTAAGATAAGTTAGAAAGACATACTGCACAAATAATTTTTTCTGGCAATTACATTACAAATTAAATTGCAAAAATTTTATAAAAGTAAACTTTGTGCATTTCATCACAAATGAATTTTGTCTTAGGATTTTTTAATACCTTAAAAAAGATATGGCTGAGAATATAACTGAAAATTAGAATACTTGTCCAGGATGCACAAAGCCCTGGATTTGATTGCCAGCATCACAGGGAGGGAGTGATGGACATTGAAACTGCTACAGAGCAGGAGATTAAGAACTAATCAAATTTACTACAATGCTGTCTTAATGTTCCTCTTTTCTAGTTACAGACAAATGGATATGTTTTTTGTGTGCTTTCTGTTGTCTGGTTTGCTTGTTATTTCTAGTGCATACTTGGCATTTGTGTAAAGTTAAGGTGGAGAATGTTTTTCATTACCAAGAAGAAGTAATGCTGGACAGAAGTAGGAGATATTCAAGGAATAAATGACCACATATCCTTTTTTTAAAATCTAATTTATACATTTGGTCCAGTTTGGCATTTGTGATTATTTCACAGCTCATGCAAGTTTTATATACATGTAGATAATGTTTGTTTTTTCCTCCCTAGAAACTTTATACGGTATGTGATGTGGCCCTGTGTGTTATAAACAGTAAAAGTGCTTTGTGCAATGCAGATTCACCAAAGGACCCGGTCCTCCCAATGAAATTTTTTACACAACCTGAAAAGGTAATTTTCTTCAACTTTTTGAATATTCATAAGTGAGCTCTTGAGTTTAAGTTTATTTGATGATTGGCCCAGTGCTATCATTACTAGAATAATACCCAAATAGAATATTGATATCAGCAGGCCTGGGGATGTAGTTCAGTGGTAGAGCATTTGCCTCACCTGTGTAAGGTGCTGGGCAAGTAAACAAAGAAGAAACAAAGTGAATTAGGTTACAGCTGGGCACCGGTGGCTCACGACTGTAATCCTAGACTCAGGAAGCAGCAATCAGGAGGATCAAGGTTTGAAGCCAGCCTACGTAAATAGTTCACAAGTCCCTATCTCAAAAAAAATCCATCACAAAAAAGGACTGGTGGAATGGCTCAAAGTGTAGGCCCTGAGTTCAAACAACAGTACCAGGAAATAAAAAAAAGAATTAGGTTACTTATTAGTCACTACATCTAAATGGTCGCAAAGAGCATATTTTGTTTTAATATCTGTAACACTGTTTTTAGTCTTCCTAATAAAAACTCAGTCCTTTCCTGTTTTTAATATGCATATTGCTTTGTTTCTTTGTCTAACATGATCTAACATGTTGCTTTTAATACAATGTAAACTCAAACACTAGAATACTTGGCTTATTAAGGTCATGGTGAGGCTATAGTTTATCTTCCTAAGTAAAGTGAACAAACTTTCATACCTGGCTTTATAACATTTATTTTAGCTGCATAAATAATATGGCTATGCATGATGACTCATGCCTGTAATTCCAACTTCTCTTTTGAGAGGTAGAGAGCAGGAGGATCGTGGTTTGAGGCCAGTACAGGCAAAAAGTTGGTCAGACCCCATCTCAACCAGTAAAGCTTAGGGTTTGAACTCAAGGCTTCATGCTTGCTAGTTAGGTGTTTTGCCTTCAAAATATTTTTAATTAAGATGACAGATATTTTTTCTGATAATTTTCTTGAAATCCAATGTGAAATTCCTTAATGTATATTAAGTGCATATTACATGAATATTAAGTGCAATATACATAATGCAATATTGGCTACTTTGCAAGCCCAAACGTAGAATTCATAATATAGTAGAGGAGGTAAAAATAGTTTTAATGAGTGCATTGGAGACTCCAGTAGCAGTGTGCTTTATTTAAAATTTTGGAATTCTGAGGATATAACTCAGTAAGTGGTAAAGCACTTACGTAGTATTTGGAAGGCTTCAGGTTTGAGTTTAATCTCCAGCAAAACACACATACAAAGACACACACAAAAGGGGAAATTTACCTTTCACACTTGCCTAGGCCTTGAATTGATATAAATGTAATCATTACTGTAAGGTACAGTAGTTGGAAGGCCTTATTTTGATAATAAAAATATGCATGTTCACTTTGTGGTTTTGTTTGTTTTTTCTTATGTAGGACTTTTGTAATGACAAGAGTTATATTTCAGAAGAGACAAGAGTACTTCTGTTAACAGGAAAGGTATTATGCACTTCGTGTCCCTTAAACCTTACAGTATCCCATGGATTTGTATGGCATTTGAATCACTCAGACTTGTCTGCCATGGACTCTTCAGAACTGCCACATGTGTTCTCTTAAAAGACAGTGAGCTTCCTGAGAAATAGAATAATAAACATAGATGTATGAGGTTAAAGAAAAATGATTTTGAAATACTAATGAGTTAGATATTTTATATTTCATAAAACTAATGTGATGAGAAAGATCAAAAAAGTAATTTGATTTTTATTGTTCTAAAGTAGTGCTGTATATATTTAGTTGTTTATAAGGCATTTCACCATGTACTTCAGTATGTTTTGGGGCACTTTTTGTTTTGGAATAGCAAGTATTTTTTATTTGGAATAGCAAGTATTGCCTCATTACTATTAAGTAGTGGCAGTGCTTATGATTTTAACTGTATTAAGGCTGCCAAACACATTTTTACAGGATTATCATTTCTCGTAAATTAAGGATTTACTTTTCCAAAATAACAACAATCCCTTTCCTTCCTCTAAAGAATCGCTGTTACCTGTTTTCTAAATTTCTTTGTATTCCTTTCACATGTATCAACTAACATGTGTGTATTTTCAGCCAAAGCCCACTGGAGTACTAGGTACCGTAAACAAGCCTTTGTCAGCAACGGGAAGGAAGCCCTATGTTAGAAGCACTGGCACTGAGACCGGAAGCAATATTAACGTCAATTCAGAGCTGAACCCTGCAACTGGGAATCGTTCAAGGCAATTTGTTTTCTAATTATCTTTCTCATTCACTATTTGCTTTATTACTAAAACATTATATCATATCATGGACTTCTGTCTTTAGATATGGTACAAAATAATACTGATGAGTTTTAGTTTTTTTCCAATAATGAGAGCATGATTATACTATATACTTTGAAATGGTACAGTATTCTAAACAGGTAGAAAAGTTAGTGGGAAAAATCTAAGAATTTATAAATATGAAAGTAAGTTGGAATATTTTGTAACTTTTAACTCAAATTAGTATGATATAAGTGAGATAACTTATTCTACTTCCCCTTTTTTTATTTTTGGTGTGGGTGTGCTCTAGGGATTGTGCAAGGCAACAGGTTGTATTCGAGGAAAGCCCTCTTAACAGTGAGCTGGATCCCCAGCCTTCCCTGTTTATTTTCTCATGTTATGTTTACTGTAGTAGCTACCACATGAGAACATGAGAATTTCCACCAGACCTTATTGTGAAAACTCAACAGTTGAGGAGGTTTTCTGGTTTTTTTGTTTTGGTTTGGTTTGGTTTTGGTTTTAGGATAAAAATTTCAACTCTGTAGTCCAGACTGGCCTGGAACTATCAATCCTCCTGCCTCCTCCTGAGTGCTAGAATTACATGACTGTGCCACTACAAGTAGCTTAAATATTGAGATTTAATTTTTAGGGAGGGTGTTTTGGGGACTAGGGTCTGAACTCATGTTTTACACTTGAAAAGTACACACTCAACCACTTGAGTCACATCTCCAGTCCATTTTGCTCTGGTTATTTTGGAGGTGGGGTCTCATGAACTGTTTGCCAGAGCTGGCCTTAAAACCTGATCCTCCAGATCGCAACCTCTCAGGTAGCTAGGGTTACAGATATGAAACACCAGTGCCTGTGTTACTTTGTTCCTTCACAGTATTTTTGTCAGTTGCTTTTAGGCAATTATTTATTTCTGTCTTACGTTGTTAAAGTTAAACTGAAGTGAGTAGATGGTATAATAAACCACAGATCTGAATCGTGCTATCATTGCATCATTTGGTGATTTCTAGACCTTTCCTTACTGGTAGACTTAAGGAGTAAACTTCATGTTTATACGGTAAAATAAAGAAGCCTTTGTTTCTTTGTTTTTTTCACTAGGGAACAGAGTTCAGACGCAGCAGAAACCGGCGTTAGTGAAAATGAAGAGAACCCTGTGAGAATTATTTCCGTAACACCCGTAAAGAATATTGACCCTGTAAAGAATAAGGTAAACACCCATTCATTTATTTGCAGTGCTACGGCCAACCTCTGTACCACTGAGCTACATCCCAAGTCCAATAGTAAAATTTAGTAAGTGAATTTTTCCTGTGGAGAAATTCTTATTATGGTTTCAGGATAGGGGTAAGAATTTCACAGTCAATAGGTTAATGTATATACCACACTTTATACCTGTTTGTTCCACTTTCTGTAATACTCACTGTGCTTCTGCTTTCCTGTGCCTATATCTGTCCACTGCCTTTTATAAATCAAGTGATCCACTGTAGTGACATCCTTCTCCCATACTGCCCCTCCTAACACCTTGAAAGCACAGTAATGAGAGTTTTGTAAATCTTTCAAAAGTTCATTGATTCCTACCCAGAAGTCCACACTGGTTTGTTTCTGTTACTCTCTCCATTTTTTCAAAGTTAAATTTTTATGAGTTAGCATTTCCAGATGTGCTTAAGTTTTTTTGTTTTTGTTCGTTTTGTTTTTCACTCAAGTAGCCCAGGTTCATCTCAAACTTCTAATCCTCCTGCCTCTGCCTCCCAAGTGGCTGAGATTATAGGCATGTCCCACCATGTCCAGCTCTTGAGTTTTTATAATAATGGCTGCATTCTATATTGTTGGCAGCCTAGAAAGCAATATGACATAATGGTAGAAACATCAGACATACCCGATTTTGAATCCTGGCTCAGCTACTCACTGGCTGTGCATTGGCTTAGGTAGGTTAACTTGACTTTTCTACCCTGTCATCTATCTGTAAAATGAAATTGGTAACATCTCTGTAGGAATGGCTTGAAGATACTTTTTAGTATCCACAAAATCTTATTTCTGGCATACTTACCTTTTTATTGCCCACCATATATTTTTGGTGTCATAAAATGAAAGTCTTAACTTTAGGTACATAAAAATGCAGTTATTCCATAGTAGCTTAACTGTTACTATACAACACTTTTTTTTTTCTTTCTTTCTTTTTTTTGGTGGTATGGGATTTGATTTCAGAACTTTGCACTTGCAAAGCAGGTATTTTACTGCCTGAGCCACATCTCCAGTCCTCCAAACTTTTGTTTACTGAACACAGGCTGCTTGGATAAGGGTGGATTCTTTTTGTTTTGTTTTGTTTTGTTTGTTTTTGGTGGCACTGAAGTTTGAACTCAGGGCCTCACATTTGCTAGGCAGATGTTCATACTGCTTGAGCCCCTCCACCCGTCCTTTTTTGTAAAGCGTTTTTTGAGATAGGGTCTTGTAAACTACTTGCCTAGGGCTGACTTCCAACTGCAATCCACCTGACCTCTGCCTCCTGAGTAGCTAGGATTACAGGTGTGAGCCACTGGCGCCTGGCTGAGGATGCATTTTCAGACGAATGTCTTACTGTCTGAAACACAGCATGTTAGAGGATTCAGATAATGGTAACCTATCACTGACCAAATTCACGCAATCCAGGAATCTATAGATTTGAAATTATAAAATCCTTGTACAGAATTAAATAGGCTTGATGCAGGAAAATTTAGGTATAAAAATATATATTGCTACTGACATTGAGTTGCATATATTTACAATACTTATTAAGGTGTGGTATACACAAATATGTATCTAGTATATTCAGCCATCTGTAACTTTTATAGCTTCTGCTTATAATTATGCATAATTTTGATATATTGGACTTCTTTTCTTTCTGTCTTTCTTTGTGTATGGTGCTGGGATCAAATGCAGAGTTTAGGACATTCCAAGCATGTCCTCTACCAATATGCTATACTCCAGCCAAATTAGATGCTTTCATTTTAATTTCTGGACAGGAGGTGTGGCTCAAGCGATAGAGTGCCTGTTTTGCAAGTGCAAAGTCCTGAGTTCAAACCCCAGTCTCACACTTTTTAAAAAAATTAATTTCGGAAAAGCAAAAGTTTTACACCCGAACTAATCCAAAATTTTGTTCTATCCCTTAATTCAACTTCTTTACACTTGCAAAGAATGTTCTAAGGGTTAGTCTAAAGAGACAATGATTGTATTTTGGCAAAAGTATAATACCTTCCCAGTCAGATACCTGTAAGTGGTATTGTCATTTCTTTCCCAGTTCTGACCCTCAACCCTGGAGACCCAGACTATCTTGTTATATATAATAGTTTGAAAATGTAAAGACCTAAGGGAGTTTGTTTGCTTGTTTTTGGTTTTTTTGTTTTTGTTTTTGTTTTTTTTTCAGTACTGGGGTTTGAACTCAGGGTCTACACCTTGAGCCAGTCTACCAGTCCTTTTTTGTGATGAGTTTTTTTGAGATAAGGTCTCAAAAACTATTTGCCAAGGCTAGCTGTAAACCACAGTCCTCCTCATTGCTTCCTCCTGAGTAGCTAGGATTACAGGCATGAGCCACCATTGCCCAGCGGGAGTAATATTTTTTGCTAAACCAATTTCTCAAGGAGATTGACAAATATACCAATCTATTAGTGTCTGTGTGTGTGAAAATTAACCCAGCAAGCTAGATATGTGTACTTATAAATCAATACATTCTCTCCTGTTACTTACTCTGTAAGGGAACCTATAATATGAAGGATGAATAAGCAAGGTAGTTCAAAGAAAAACCAAGACATACATCCTATTGACTCATGCAAGCAATATTGCCAGTGTTATTTTTCTTTTGCTCTGGCTTGTCAGTACTTCATTTGATTTGGTTTTGCTTTTGTTTGTTTTTGTCATTTTGTTTGTTTGTTTTGTTTTACAGTTCTGTGGTTTGAATTCAGGGCTTCAAGCTTGCTAGGCAGGTGCTCCACAACTTGAGGCCACTTCACCAGCAAATAATGTTATATTTCTTAGTACCTAAGACAACTGGTTCCCTTTTCATTTTCATAAATGTGTAAATATGATATAATAGGGACCTGCTTTGATATTGTTTAAATCATATTTTCCCCAAAAGAGGACCAGTAGAGATTGATGATTCACCTGGCTTTTTTTTGTTGTTGTTGTTGGAACACCTGTTTGTTTGACTGCTTAGATTTGGAAGAGATAAAGGAGAAAATGATGGAGGGGGTGAATTCACTAAGAACTTGTATAAATGTCACAATGTACCCCTACTACAACATTTTTTTTTTTAAGAAAGAGACAAAAAAAGACTTGGAGTAATTTTTACTTAAATCTGTATTTACTCTCTTAAAAACTACTTTGCTGGGCATGCTGGGGTCACCAGCTCAAGGCCATCCTGGGCCACATGGCCATACCGCTTCACGTGCCACACTAAACTGCATGAAGGCAGGAGCCATATCTGTTTTGATCCGTTATTTACTGTTTCATTAATTCTTGTGAGCCTCCTTCAACTTGCCCTTTCAGATATTATCCTTTTTTTTTTTTTTTTTTACAGAGGCTTAATTTTAAAGTAAGCCCGACAGTAAAAAACCGATTTGTGGATTTTGTCATTTTCATTCAAGTAAATTTCCCTATAACATGAAACTTTGTAATATTCTTTTTGGTAAAATTTTCTGGAGAAAATGAAAATTAACTGAAAAGATAAAAGTTTTTGCATGATTAATGTGTTCCTATGTATTAATCAGATAGAATTATGTCAGTGAGGATTTTTTTTGGCAGTACTAGTGTTTTAAATTCAGGACCTTGTGGAATTATATCAATTAGAATTATAATTGATTCCTACATTTCATTCATATGAAGATCACTCTCTGAAAAACCATTGTTTATCCCAAAGCCTATTATATCTTTTATGGTAAAATGGAATTTTATTACTTTAAACATTTTATATGAGTTATTGCAAATTAAGAAAGACAAAAAAGCTGGTGGAGTGGCTCAAGTGGTAGAGTGTCTGCCCTAGCAAAGGAGAGGCCCTGAGTTTAAACCCCATTACTGCCAAAGAAAATAGTGAAAGAAAGACAAGAAACAAAAATGTTGAGCAAAAAGTATTATTGATGCCATAAAAAAGACAATGGTTTCAACGAATGAATGGAGTAAATAGTGAATAAACGTTGTATTACCAAACTATTATTATATTTACAGACAATATAATAATGTATTGAATTATGAAAGCACTCATCATTTGAAAAGTGACACATTTAGAGCATGACATCTTTTCTTTTAGAATGAGTAAAATAGCAAAACCAGGTAGACTTTGTTTTTTATTTGTATTGATTGCCTGTGCATTTTGAACATGTATGTATGTCTGCACTTGTGGGAATCAGGCACAGGCACAGCTGCTGTCCTCAGAGAGCTTACTTTTCTAGTGGATACAAGCAATTAACTGGAAGCCCTAGAATCCTAATGCCTTTAAAATACTTTCAAAATAGGCTGGACATAGTGGCTCATACCTATATTCTTAGCTATTCAGGAAGTGATCCTGATTTAAGGCCAGCCCAGGCAAAAAGTTCATGAAAACCCATCTCGACCATTAAAAACTGGGCAAGTTGGTGCACACCTGACATCTCAGCTGTGAGAGAAGTGTAAACAGTCTGGGCTGGACAGTATTTAAAAAAAAGAAAAAAAAAAACTAAAGCAAAAAGGGCTGGAGATATGGCTCAATTCGTAGCGCCACCAAATCCCAGTACCAACAATAACTAAATAAATTAATTAAATATTTTCAAAATGCTCCTTTCTAATACAGATTTTTGATCTTTAAGGAATTTATATTTACAGTATTGTTTACTGTGCTCTTTTAGGAAATCATTTCTGACCAGGCTACCCAGGGCAACATCAGCAGTGACCGAGGAAAGAAAAGAACGGTACCAGCAGCCGGTGCAGAGAATATCCAACAGGAAACAGATGGCAAAGTAGATGAATCAGGACCACCTGCCCCTTCCAAACCCAGGAGAGGACGGCGACCCAAGTCTGAGTCTCAGGGCAATTCAACCAAAAATGATGATACAACTAAACCCAGTAGCAAGGGACGGAAGAGAGCTGCCGTCAGCCAAGAGAGCCCTGGGAGTATAGAAGCAGGTAATGCCAAAGCGCCCAAACTGCAAGATGGAGCCAAAAAGGCAGCACCAGCAGAAAGGCAAATTGATTTACAAAGGTAACATGCACCCTTCTTCCTGAACCTAGAATTTAAACTTTTCATTTTATACTTGGTTTTCCTGCAGAGATTATCACATTTGTTTTAATCTCATAATCTCCAGTTTTAAGGCACTGGGTTGATGAAACTTTTCCCTTTTTCCTTTAGTTAATTTTGATATAGGATGTGGTATTTGGTGTTTCTGTTTATTACCAAGGAGAATGTTCTTTTGCTTAGTGCTCTTTACATGGCTGCATTGGGTTTATGTAATATAAAGGCTATCTTTTCATACCATGCCCTGGTGTGGAGAAGATAGTCATAAAGAATAAATGAGTGTTTCCTCTCTTTAACTCTTTTTGTTATAGTCAATTCTAATGTAGGTCAGCATCTTACCATCCGTCTTCCTCCCCAGATAAACTCTGCAGAGTTGCTTATCTTTGTCATTCTTAGATGAGGACTTTACATTTCTACACAGTGCTGCAGTAGTGTCCAGTGGATACCTAACATGTGACTCCCTCCACACTTAGCCTATGATTAGAATTGACCAGTTTTTTTCTCCTCATATACTCATTTGTTTTAGTTTTTTTAAACCCCTGAATTAGATTATAAGCATCTGAGTTTCTTCTTTATAATATAAGAGTCCTAAGTTGTAGTAAGGCACTTGGAAGGCTGAGGCAGAAATATCACAAGGTCAAGACCAGGCTAGGGTACATATCAAGACCCTTTCTCAGGAGGAAAGAGAGAAGAGAGAGTGGGGGGGGGAGGCGGGGGGAGTAATTATGAAAACCAGTATGTGGGCAAACTTTACCTGACTTTTCTTGAAACCTGGAACAACCAATTTCTTCATTAGTTTGATATTATAATAATATCTACTTCTAAGAATTAAATGAATTGATAAATATAAAGCATTTAGCACCATACTTTTTATAGAATAGATGCTCAGTAATTATTATTACCATTGTTTTGATTTCTACTTGTCTTCTTTTTTTTTTTTTTTGGTTGTCTACTTCTTATTACACATTTTCAAATATAGTGCCCTTATGCAGTATTTCACTCATACAAAATTAAACATTTCTTTGTAGATTGCTAGAGTTGTCTAGGGAGTTTCTGTCCCCACTGTTCCTCACCCTCAGAGGAAAGTACCGATCATCACAGGTTACCTGAGCCACTTGACCTTCCTTCTCACTAGTTGTCCTTTTGCAATCCAAAGAAAATATCCTGTTAGCCCACATGGACCCTGAAAACTTCTTCAGTTTCACCAAGCCATGGCTTTGATTTAGGGCATTGTCAAATCCATTGCTCTGCTTTTAACATATGTTCCAACATCATTACACAAAACAAAAACCAAAAAATAACTTATATCCTGGAGACTGGTTTTGATTTAAAAAGACATTTATAAAGCTGGGAATGGTAGTACACAACTATAATGTCAATTACTTGGGAAGCTGAGGCTGAGACAAGAGAATGGAGAGTTTAAGGCCATGCTAGACAAAATTAGTATGAGACCCAATCTGAAAAACAAACTAAAAGTGAAACCTCTGAGACCATGGCTCAAGTGGTAGAGTTTGAGACCCAAGTTCTATGTGCAGTACTAAAAAAGAAAAGAAAAGGGCTTTTAGGAGCTGAATGTGGTAACACACACCTCTCTTCCCACCTACTTAAGAGGCTGTGGCAGGAAGGTTGTGAGTTCAAGGTTAGCCTGGACAATGTTGTAAGACCCTATCTCCAACAGAAAAAAGCAAAAACACAACTTCTTAAAAATCACTAAAGTTTATTTAAAAAGTCAAAATGTTCGTTCTAAGTCTTAAGTATGCCAGTGTGTTAATGGATAGTCTTTTTCAAAATATAGAATTCTGTAAGTTTTATATTATCATCAAAGAGATGATGATTATATCAGATAATAACATTCTGCTGTGTTAATTCATTAGCATAGATTAGTAATTCATGATTAAGGAAACATAGAAGTCCCTTGTGAATCTTTTTCACAAGTCTCTCTTTCATTTGTGTTCTTTTCTGGACCTAAAACACAACAGTGCCCTTAAATTCTAATAACTTGGCTGAGACTTAGAATCCCATTGATCTATTCGGTGAAAGCTGACCCAACGTCATAAAATCAATAATGCTTATCCCCAAAAAAATCAGTTTTGTAATACTGCTCATAATACCCACATTCTTTAGAGTTGAAAACTCCTGGTACTTCTCATTCATTCTCTCAGCAAATACTTACTGATTAGACCTCCAGGCATTGTATAAGTGTTGGAAATGTAAGCGTGTTCTATTTCAGTAATTCCCAGCTTGTCCACACTATAAGAAATCAGAAAACTTTCCTATTATGTCTGCAGATTCATACAGTGAATATATAAAAAGTGGTTGTGTGTGGTGGTTTATGCGTATTTCCAGCACTTTGGAGACAGAGGTAGAAGTGTTACAAGTTCAAGGCCAGTCTGGGACGTAAAGCAAGACCAGTCTTACAAAGCCAAAAAAGAGGGCTGGGGATATGCCTCGCAAACACAAGGCCTTGGGTTCAATCTCCAGTACTGGGCTGGGAGGGAGGCGTGGGGGGGGGTGGACAAAAAGAAAATAAACTATTTTTTCAATTACTACTTAAAAGGGAATGGAATTCTAAACTTACTACAACATGAATGAACCTTAAATAGACTCAGACCTGGGCACCAGTGTTTCACACCTATAATCCTAGCTACCCAGGTGGCAGAGATCAGGAGGATCTGGGTTTGAAGCCAACCTGAGCAAAATAGTTCACGAGACCCTGTCTCGAAAAAAACCCATTACAGGAAAGGGCTGGTGTAGTGTAGGCCCTGAGTTCAAAATCTTGTACTGCCAAAAATAAATAAATAAATAAGTTAACACTTTGCTTCTTTTGAGCCAAGCTCAATACTAAGTTCTTTATGGTAAATCCATTGAGTCCTTAAGTCAGCTCTACATGGGTAAATGTTGTTACAGAAAGGAGGTGGGGATAGTGACAAAGAGGGCCAGTGTAATGTCACTTTGATCCTTTGCTTATTTAGATAAGGGACTTAGGATAAAACCAGGACAATATGACTCTAGACTGTACTGTAATCAGTGCACAGTTTTGTACTTTGAAGATTAGAATCCCCTTCATTCTACAAGCACACCTTATTCATGGACTTATTAGAAGTTGATTTCACAAATAAGAATAAACTTCAAAAATCAGAAGAAATTTTTTTTAAAAAAATTCAAATTCCCACATGCATTTCAAAGCTCAGTGGGTGCAGAGAAGTTCTCACTCAGTCTCAGGCTACTGTAGTTGTGTTTCAATCATTGTCTGATTTGCTGAGTCTTTCCCTGCCCTTAATTTTGTGGGAAAAAATGTCTCCTAAAAAACAAAGTAAAAGTTAATGTGCTTAATTGAAGTGAAAATATTAATTTGTTGAAAGACAGCATGCCTTTAGGGGGAAGTTGGGCAGTGTTCAGGGGAAGATGAACCAGTTATCTGCAGTCACAGCACTGAGTTCTGTGCATCCGGTGCCGTGACGGTTTTCCTCAGTGGTGCTCTCCTGGGAACCACTCAGTGTGAAAGGAGATGTTCTAGGCATAAGGCCCTGGATTTGATTCCCAGCACCCAAAGAAAAGAAAGAAACAAAGATGTTTTAGTGTGTCCTTACCACTAAGCTATGGCATATATACATATATATATAAGCATCTGTGATGACTCAGCTAATGTTTTAACAATCTTCAGCTTGAGAAAACCTCAAGTGGTGAAAAAATCCTGAAGATGCCAACTTTCTTTTTTTTTCGTGTTGCAGGGCATCAAACCCAAAACCTGTGCATGCTAGGAAATTGCAGCCCCTGCCAGCTTTATTTTAGTTCACGTAAGAATGACATTAGCTTCCCTTTTCCTACAAGATTCTAAACCATAGTTCTCATTAAGATCAAATATTACCCATAAGTGACTTGACATCCTGTCTATACTTTTCTGCAACCTGGTGAGGATCAGATACATTTTCTCTTTTTTTTTTTTTAATAGTTTTTGAGGCACTGGGGTTTTAACTCAGAGCCTCACACTTGATAGGCAGCACACTCTTACCACTTGAGCCACTCCGCCAGCTCGGATCCATTTTAAAGCCACATGTTTGATTCTGAGTGCACAACACCTTAAATCAACCTGTTAAGGTTATCATTATTCCAACCAGCTGGCTGCTCAGAGCACTGGGGTTGCCAAGCCTGAAAGCCATCAAAACACACCGCCAACTTATACATGAGGCCAGAGTATGTACTTAGCTTCCTTGGTAGCTTGCTCTGGGGAATCCTAACTGGATTTCTGCACAAAGTAGCTGACCACCTGGGTTTTATGTGATAAAGATGGCACACCACCCTGTCTTCCTAACTCCAGATACCATTTCGTTAGTCTTTCCCTTTACTTTGCAAAAGTCACCACACCTTTCACCTGCTTCACTTCTCACTTCCCAAATGCTTGTTTTCTACTGTGGTCACAAATCCGTACAATTACCTCTCAAGGAGCCTCTTCTTGTGACATCACCCTCGCCATCTACACTGTCTTCATTTGAGAACTGCATCTCCCGAAGGTAGCCCATCCACTACTATACTAGAACAGCCTCTAGAAAACATTCCCAATCTGAATGGGGTATTATTATATTGCATGATTAGGTAAATTTTATTAAATTATGAAAACCATTTTTGAGGTCCTAGTATAGACCAATTACAATCCAGACACTTTATTTATTTTTGCATTTTTGGTGTGACTGGGATTTGAACTCAAGGCCTCACATTTGCAATGCAGATGCTCTGCAAGCTGAACAACACCTCCAGTCCATTTCGCTGTGGTTACTTTACAGATGGGGTCTCTATTTTCCTAGGCTGGCCTCAAACCTCAATCTTCCTGATCTCAGCCTCCCAGGTAGCTAGGATTACAGGTGTGAGCCACCAGTGCCAGGCAAAATGCTTCATATCCTTCACCTCATTTAATTCTTCAGCCCCATGAGAGAGACTTCTCATGAGACTTTTAGCATCTTTGAGGCATTTTCACATCGCACTCATCAATTGCCCTTGAATGTATGGCAAGTGCTACCCTCTCCAATTCTCCGATCTCTCCTGATACTGACAGCATTCGATCAACACTTATTTCTTTTAGCATGATCCCCACCTTTGTGATTTATTTGCCAGTTCAGTGGTATTTTATTTCACTAAAACATGGAGAGTATATGGAAAAACTTACTGGCACAGATTTCTTCTGGGAATTGATCTTTTAATTTTTACATTAAATGTAGTCCTTCGGCTATCTGTATATATATAGGCTGCAGTAAGTGTTATTGTTAACATTTTTGGCTGCATTTTTAATTGTTACTACTTTTGAGAAAGCTCCTACCATTCACCTGATAAATTTATAAAAATCAACCATTTGCACTGTGGTCAGGCCAGAGTGTCTGGATATTAATCTTGTCTCTGTAAGTTTTAGGTGAAGAAATGATCACCATTTCAGCATTCTAGGTTGCTTGTTTTTCTTTTATGTGTTGGAGTTATTATGTAAATAGAAATAATTCCCAAGGCTTGCATTGAAAGTCTATCCTTAATAGGTTGGTGGGAGCAGATATGGTAGTGCACATTGTTAAGCCCAACAACTAGGAGGCTGAGATGGGGGATTGAGTTCAAGGTCAGTCTGGGCTACGTAGCAAGACCCTCTCTCAAAAATCGCAACAAGAAAAGATCTGCTGGTTCTTAGTATGTTTTGCATGCACTTAAACCAGATTCTTCCAAACAATCATCAAGTTTCAGAGCGCTTAGGAACTCAGCCTTGAAGGAGAATATTTTTATGACAGACTACGGTTTCCTCATCTTTGGATTCACATGTTTTGGGTAACTTTTTTTTTTTCCCTTCAGTACTGAGGTTTGAACTCAGCCTACACTTGAGCCACTCCACCAGTCCTTCTGTGATGGGCTTGTTTTGGTTTTTTTGACATAGGTTTTTGTGTACTGCTTGCCAGGGCTGGGTTCGAACCACAATCCAACTGATCTCTATCTCCTGAGTAGCTAGGATTATAGGTGTGAACCATGGTGCCCAGCTAGATATCATCTTTAGTGTAGGAGTGTATAAGGATTTTGGAATTTGTATTTCTTAAGCAAGAGAATTTATTGATTTCCTGTGTCTTGATTACATGGGATCATATCTTAGAGTTAAAATAACCCCTAAGTATGTACCCTTGTGGTTTGTTAGTATTTTGTTTGTGACAGGTCTCACTCTGTAGCCCAGACTGGCCATGATCTTGGGACCCTCCTTTCTCATCCTCAGTCCCACTGAGTGCTGAGATTACCATTCTGTACCAGCATGCCAGGCTTATGTATAATTTTGATATGAATATTCTTTCAGTACCAAGTGATTTTTCTATCAAAATATTATGAAAATTTTCAGAAGCCCCATGCTTGAAAGTGGTAACACTTCATTTTGGGACAGGCAGTTCCTCCAGTGGAGTTTGTGAGAGCAGCCAGAAACACTGAGGGCTCAGGTAGCAAAGGGAATATTCTTGAAGATGCAGCATGCATCTTGATAACATATTATGAATCTTGTTGTGTATGTTATTAAAAATTAAGTACATAACATTGTTACCTTTATTTAAAAAGTGTACATAGTGCTTCCTTTGGAACTATTTCTATTTTTCCCATGTATCTAATTGTTGAGAGGGAAATACAGTCTTTTTGGCAGTACTGGGGACTGAACTCATGGCCTTGCTCTTCCTACACAAGCACTTGAGCCATGCCTCCAACCCTTTTTGCTTTAGTTTATTTTTACACAGGACTCTTGCTCCTTTTTCCTAAGCCAGCCACCACCACACCAAACCCCTCATTCCAAATTTCCAACCAGCTTTGTCAGTATTAAGACTGTGCCTCTTCTGGATGTGGTGGCACACACCCATAATCACAGCTACTTGGGAGGTAGATGTAGGAGAACTGCACTTACGGGCCTGCTTGGGCGAAAAATTAGTGAGATCTTACCTCAGAAATGACTCTTACATGGTGGTACATGCTGGAGACTGAGGTAGGAAGACTATGGTGTATGGCCAGCTAGGTGAGACCCTATCTGAAAACAAACTAAAGCAACGTAAGTACATGGCCCTGTGTTCAAACCCAGGTACTACACATAAATATAAATATAAATACATATATGTATAAAACCTAAGCTGTGTTTTCTTTTTTTCTTTTCTTTTTCTTGGTGGCAGTAGGGTTTGAACTCCAGGCCTTGCACCTGTTAGGCATATGCTCTTACTGCTTGAACCACTCCACCAGTCCCTAAGCTACATTTTCTTCCTGTTTTTTGGTTTGTTTTTTTAGTATATAAAATACATTTATGAACACAGCTCAGGATTAAGAACTTATTTTGCTGTTTGTAATTTCATTTTGTTTACCATGCATGAATTGTTCTCCTTTATATTATTTTGAAATTATTTCAAATAAATAGCTTTTATCATTGTATGCAAGTAGGACATTGAATAGTAGAAAACAATATTGCTTTATGGTGGTTTTTTTATGACTTAGGCAAAGATTTCATAGACTAGTGAAAGTCCCTAGTGAAAAAAATGAGAAAACTATTTTGAGACTTTAGATATCTTTGAAATGAGGTGGTTCTGGATTGGCCTGTGTGCTTCTGTGTCTTTGCTAACTCTGTGTTCTCGTACTCCTGTTCTCAAGGTAAAAAGAAAACTCAGTATCCAGGGGAAATGAGGGCCAACCAGAAGTATGCTCCAGCTTCTGCAGAACTTGGATTCACAACGTCCCTGAGCGCAAAATGAAGTTCACTTCAGAACACACACTTTCTGCCTTGAAAACTGAGAGAAGCTAGGACTTCCTTTTTACATGACCATGGTCCTTTGATGGAAATGGACAGCAGAAACTCTCGAGAGAGGCTAAATGCAACTCTGTCCTCTTCCCCCTCCCAGACTTTTCCTAGGAAAAGTCAATAATTAAGCAAATTGCTTAACACTTGATTCCAGTTCCTGCATATCTGGAGTTTAAACATAATAGTACACCATTAATTTCCATGCTGCATTTTTTATTTTAAAGAAAGTAACAAGATGTCCTTACACTGACACTGAAAGTCATCCAGTCTAGAGCCAGGAATTCCCATGTTACACAAGAAAAAATTGAAGTCTACTGAATTAATTTTTTTAGAAGAAAAGAGATCAGATTAAATATTTGTTTTCCTTTTGGAAATTTTTATGTATAATTTCTCCTGCCTGTCTACTTTTCTGCAAAAATGAGATGTACAGATTTCAATTCCCTGCTATGAAAAGTAATGTTGTGGCAATTTTATAAATGTTGCTTTCTTATTTTTATCAGAGTGATAAAATAATTAAAATTATTATTGATTTGCAAGTAGTAAACACTTCATCTTTTGATTTCCCCTCCACTTTAGTTTAATATAATTTGCAATAAATGTACATATTGTTTCATAAAGCATATCACTTTAAAGTGGTTTTTACTCTTAGGATCATATTGAAATATTTGGAATTTGAAAGGAGTAAGGATTGTCCAGCATTTGGTTTTATAATGTTTGTCACCAGATTTTTATTACTGATGTAAAAAAAAAAGTTGTTTTCTTTTGTTTTTTTAAACAGTTGGACCTTGGCAGCGTTATAAGGAAGGTTGAGGGGTTTGCTGTTAGTTTTCAGCGTTGTGCTGTTGGGAAGTGAGTGTCTCGGATTTCATCTGGGCTCAGCTTTTCTCCTTATTTGAGAGACAACCGTTGCTTCAGTACACCGCGCTCCTTGGCATTGTTCAGCGTAGGTGATGTGTGCACTCTGTGTGCACTAATCATATTTAAGTTTTTGCGTGAAATAAATGCTTCTAGATGTCATATGGTAGTCTTTTTTTAAAATCTTTTTATCATATTATGCTTTCTTGTGAATTTTTTTATGTGAAAGGGCTAACATCAAAGAACATAATTACAGTCAACTCTATTATCTATATAGAACAGTGACTGTACCTCAGGTTGTTAATTTTGTCATGACCATGGTCTTACAAAAGGAGGTGGCACCTGCAGGACTGCTTGAGGAGGGTCTTGAAATTCATCCTTTCTCACATGCAGTTCTGTCCCACCTCCACTGCCTCCTTCAGGCTCATCCCAAACCCCTAGCAGAATTGCTGTTTCTTACTCATACCTGGTGCGGGGTAGGGGAGAAGAACATTTGCATTGCAACTTGGTCTTGATAGGCTATAGTCCATTTAGCATGTTAAAAAACACAATGAAATTATCATAAAATGATGATTACATTACAACTGAAATTTGCTAGTAGTAAAAGTCACTCGTGTTCTCATAGATAATGAAGCGTTGGCTGTAAATTGAGTGGAGGATGGGTAATTCTTTTTAAGTATGTATATCTATATGCACATTTATGTGGCAGAAAATTGTTAGGAAACAACAGATACCAATGATAAAAGACAACTGTCTTTTCACATGGCAGAAAAGCCCTACTCCTATCACCTCTTCATAGCCCTTTAGAAAGTATAAAATACTGCCTCCAATGTGACCAGAGTATCTATGCATAAGCATCAACAGAGTCCCTTGAGCAATCAGTTGTTTGTATTCAATTTAGAAAGAGTTTTAAGTTCTCTTAGCATCAGACGACTTGATTCTTACACACTGATTCGTCACCTACAAAAAGTGCATTGAAAGTCATCCAGGGAGCTGTGTGGTGCTGGGTATTTCATCATGGAGTAAGAGAAAGAAAGTTCCAAAGTGCTAAGTCACACCCAACAAAATGTAGCACAATCACTTGCATCAATTTAAGGCTCTTTAGGTTTTTGCAGGAGATGAGTAAACCTAAAAAAAGATGTGTTCCTCAGAGGTACGGAAATGGTCCCCCCCGATTTTGTAAAATGACACAGTGTTTGGCACTATGGGAGGGACAGTAAGATGGTAGAATGACTAAGTGAACAGAGGGAGACTTAGTTACAGGAAATTTGTCAATTTCCTTTGAAAAGGAAAAGGTAAAATCTCTTGGGAATTTGGTATTCACATCTCAGAGAAATACAACACAGAAGTGCAGACTTATATTTGAAAATAATGTAACCCTTTGTGTCTAGTTTGAAGCTTCTTGTATTTGTCTAAAACCACAAGCCAGAATTTTGTATCTCCTTTGATAAAAAGTGTGTATAATGTAAAGTAGTTTTGCATATTCCTGTGCTGCACATGGGCTGAATTTTTAGAATTTTTTTAAAGACTTGAAGCAGTACCTTGTAATTTGTGTAAATGACGAGTGTAAAATCCTACCATAAAATGCTAAAAATATGCATTGTTTCGAATAAAACCAAGAAATGCAGCAGTATGTGGCAGTGTGGAGCCCTGAATGTTCCTCAAAAGTCGGTGAGGTGTCTTGGCATGTTTTCCCTTCAGTTTCCACAGTATGCACATCCTGATGGCAAATCAAATGCCATCTTCAGACTTCAGTTTAGGGACTCTGATCTGCCTTACAGTGACTGAGAAGGAAAATGATGGAGGCTGAATTCTGAGGGACTTTTGGAAAATGTTAAAACTTATTCTTTTCCCTAAGATTTTTAAAACAACCTTCATTCACACTATTCTGTGATAAATGATTTATCACAACTCGTGGACATGCGTTAGTGCAACAAAGTTCAGAGTGAGCAGATCCCGCACAGGTTTCAGGAGTGAGAGGTAAGAGAGGCCATCACCTTTTGAGTTTTATTGTTAATGGGTGTATCTTTCCACACCCTGATGGTCGTTCAATTATTCCTTTCATATTTGTGAGTTTCACAACCCACGGATTCAACCAACTGCAGTGGAACATATTTGAGGGGAAACTGAGCTGTATTGAACGTTACAGACACTTTCCTATCACTGTTTCCCAAGCAGTGCAGCGCTTACACTGCTTAACATAACATGATCAGTAACCTAAAGGTTACTTGCACCCACGTACAGTTTATAAATTCAGCTGACGATCTTCTTCACCTCCATTCCTGAAGGATACTTTCACTGGGTACGCAATTTGGTAGTCACTTTTTTTTCTGCATTGGATAATTTTATCCCACTACGTTGGATGTAAATTATAATGGTTTGCAAATGAAAAATCTGTCGTTTAAGTAACTTTCCCTATAGACATTTGGTTTCTGATTGCTTTTGAGATGTCTTCTCTCCAGTTTTCAGAAGTTTGAGTTTGGCTTGCTTTGGGTTTACCATGTGTGATTTTTTTCTCTCTACAAATTTCTGACTTTTGCCATGTTTGAGAATTTTCCAGCAAATACTCTAAACATTGTTGGAGCCCCATACTCTTTCCTGCTTTCCTGCAAGCACTGTGATGCCAAAGATATTAGGTCTTTCTGTAATCTCCATTGCTCTATGTCCAAGTTCACTCATTCTTTCCCCGTCTTCTTCTGAACCCATCAGCAAGAGTTTCTTCTTCCTTCACAGGTGTCCTTGTCTTTGGAAAGGTTTGCTGATTGTGATAGCAACCTCTTACATTTCCATTTGATTGGTGGCCACTCTGCGGTTGTATCACGCCATTAAGATAGGACACGGTCTCCTTACAGCATTTGACACGAGGGGCAGATTGGGGATCCACACAGGTTCTGGAGCCCCACGTCACGCGGATGCTGAGAAGCACATGCGTTGTCAAGACTTTTCTGTCACACTGTTCTTTCTGTGCTCAGCGCCATTAGAGAATATTGATCCTGACGACATCGGCATGGGGGTGAATCAGGCAGGAACCTTTCCAGCTTGCTCCTTTGCTTTCCAAAGTCTCAGGATTCAGGCAGGAATCCTAGTAAGCAGGGGCTCAGTACATGTGTCCATGAAGTGGAACCTGGGCCTACTGAGGAAGAGGGTCCAAGGACAGCCCCCTGTCCCCGAGGTGTCCAGAGGGCAGCTTTAGAGGCTGTGAAAGGACTGCACATTCCCTAGCCAGCCTAACCGTGTGGAGGAGCGTGTACAGGCAGGCACAGGTTTTCTTCTGGTCGTTTGCTTTTTTCTGTTTTGAGACTGGGCTGTGTGACGGAGCCTATCAAGCACAAAGCCCTAAGTTCAAACTCCAGCACTGCCAAAAAAGAAAAAGAAAAAGAAAAAGGGCTCATGAAAAGAAGTCCGTTGCCCAGTGTTTGCTAGTCCCTGGATGTACCTCGGAAAGACATGCGTTCTTAAACTCTCTCCTCGGGTAGTTGTCCTTTTAAATAACAAGCTTTTGCTTTCAATACTGCTTTTGTTGTCTTTTAAACAAAGTTAAAACCTTGCTTGTCAAGGTGAACATTCTTGCCTTAGCCTCCTGAGTGCTTGGATTACAGGTATACATGCCAGCCCTGTTTTGTGTTGGGTGTTTTCCAGATGTGGTCTCACGAGCTATTGGCTTGGGCTGGCTTCAAACAGCAATTCTCATAATTTCTGCCTCCTGAGTAATTTAGGATTGCAGTCATGAGCCACCACTGCCTGGACATACTGTCACATTGATGACAGGGCTTCCAGACTCCACTGGGCAAATAGTTTTTATTCAAACCTAGAAGTCATCACTTTACACTGGGTGTGGTGGTCAACCTGTAATCCCAGCTACTTGGGAAGCAGAGATAGGAGGATCATGGTTCCAGGCCAGCCTGGGCAAAAGAATGGGACCTTATCTAAAAAACAAACTAAGCCCAAAGGCATGGGGGCACGGCTGAAGTTGTAGAGCACAAAACCAGTGAGCACATGGCCCTGTAGTCAATTCCCAGCACTGAAAAAAAAAAACTCATTACCAAGAAATTGATGTCATTTTATTCCAAGTTTTTGTACCCCAAACTCAGAGTAATTTTAGGGTTTTTTGTTTCATGGGGCTGGGGTTTGAATTCAGGGATTTGCACCTGCTAAAACAATTGCTCTAGTGGATAGTCTAGTTTTCTTTGGATATATTGGAGATGAGGTCTCAGGAACTATTTGGTCCGGCCTCAAACCATGATCCTCCCAAACTAACACTAACTAAACTAGTTAGTGTTACAGGCATCAGTCACCAGTGCCGTCTATTTTTCCTAATTCATATTGCAAAGAAAAATATGCCCTATCGGGGGTCCTCAGAATGGGCTCACTGCTCTGTGCTTGATGAAGTAGGAATCTGAAACAAAATGTGTTCAAATGTTTGGAAGTGGTCCACTAAACTTTTTTCAACATTTCTCATTCCAAAAATCATTCATGGTTTTTGTTTTTTTCAGTACTGGGGGTTGAACTCAGGGCCTTCACCTTGAGCCACTCCTCCAGCCGTTTTTTATTAGGTTTTTTCAAGATAGGGTCTCACGAACTATTTGCCCTGGCTGGTTTCGAACCATGATCCTCCTGATCTCTGCCTACTGAGTAGCTAGGATTACAGGCGTGAGCCACCAGCACCCGGCTCTTGTATTCTTTAAACTTCTATTTGTCTATTTACTTCATTTTATACTCACTCTGTAACTCAGGTTGGCCTTGAACTATCAATCCCCCCCGTTTCAGGAGTGGCAGGAGTACGGGCATATACCACCTCCTCCGGCTTAAAGTGTGAATCTTCTTGGGGGAAGGGAGTCTCAACCTGTTTGCCCACATTGGCCTTGACCTTCAACTCTCTTGATCGCCACCCCCCAAGTAACTAGGGTTACAGGTATAAACCTGGTCTTCACTAACTCTCTAATAAGAGCACAAAATGAATTTTGACTGTTTTACACTTTTCACGGGAAAAGATTTTACTTTTTACCTCTGGTGGTACTGGAGTTTGAACTCTTGCTTGCTAAGCAGGTGCTGTACCACCTAAGTTTCACTTTTTGCCTAGTCCAGCCTGGACCATGGTACTTTAATCTTACACTTCTCCAGCTGGGATGACAGATGACTGCCACATCACCCGGGTTTTTTCTGTTGAGGAGGGGTCTAACTTTTTTTGCCTGGGCTGGCCTCAAACTGTGATTCTCCTTATCTTAGCCTCCCAAGTAATTCTCTTTTGGTTTTTGAAACAAGGTCTCCCCCTTGGTATTCCAGGCAAGCCTTGAACTTCACACCCTCCTGTGCCAGCCTCCCAAGCGCTGGGCTTCCGAGCGTGTGGCACTGTACCTAGCTTTGGCTGCAGCATCTCAAGTTCCATTTTCAGGTTTTCTTCCCTTTTAGGTTGACTCAGATCATTAGCACTGGGCACAGTCTTCACAAGTCTGCTCTTTGTGTTTCTGGCAAGGTAGGCTTTTTTTCTGCAGTAGGGCTGGGGGTGGGGAGTGCTGGGGAAGGAACCCGCAGCCATCCCAGCCCCCTAATGATGAAATTTGTTAATATTTTCATGTTCACTCAGGTGAACTTAACCTTCTCTCTGAAAAAGTCCAAATCCTTTTCAAGGTCCATTTTCTGGGTTCCCTGTTTCTACAGGAAGGGATCTTGCCTTTCCCACTTACACTTTAACTCCAGCTAGGGAGCTGGAGGCAGGGATCTAGCTCAAGGGTTGAGCACTCACGTGCAGCCCTCGGCTCAATGGCCAGGCTTAGAAGAAAAAAATTAAAAACCCGTAAACTAGAAATCTAACCCCATAGTATGCAGCATTTTAGTTGTCCTCATTTCCAGAGTCTTTCAAATTCTCCAGGGCGATTTTCCTCCAGGTAAGACCACAGAAGCAGCCTACACTAGCCAGGCTGCAGGGCGTGTCCTCCAGTTTCTAGGTTTGAGTTACAGGCAAACTGGGGCTGGAGGCATGGCTGGAGAGACAGAGCACCTGCCCCTACCAAGCACAAAGTCCTGAGTTCAAGCCCCAGTACCACAAAAAAATTAAAATTTTACTAAAGCGTTTCTGTGCTGGCCCTGAGCCCCAAGTTCGAGCCCCTACTACCACCAAAACTAAACAAGCAGCACACTGGCTGGCTCCACTGTAACACCTGTAGACCATTAGGTTGGGGCTTCCTCTGTTGTACCGAACCACCTTCTACTCTTCCATAACCTTACCTTTTTCCAGAGATATTTCACCATTATCTTTTCTTCCATTCTGTCCTAGTTTAGTGTCATTTCGGGGAATCTGAAGACAGCTGTCACTGCTAAAGCGTTATTGTGATATCCATTATGCAGTACACAGTTTGTAACAGAGGAAAGCCAGAAACAACTGTCCTAATAGATCCACAGATGCAGATAAAATGACAGCCCTACTCAGTGGTCTGTTTACAGACATTCCAATGTTTATTTAAATCTTTAAAGAACTGTAGTCATGTTTTGAAAGATGAACATTACTAACTATACAGAATTAACTCAATAGGATTGAGTTAACAGTACATCAAAGGGGAGGGTACCTGGAAATATTAAGCAAATTCTAAGAGGTAGGGATAGAGCTTATTTTTTAAGTAACCTACGTTTCCTTAAGTGAGCACATTATTGCTAAAATTGTTTAGAAAAACAAAAGTAGAAGATAGAAAATTGGAAGTTCTTACTCTAACGATGCCAATTGTCCTTGTGTTGCTATAGCAAAATACCTGACAAGGTAATCTTTAAGAGACATTTGACCTGGGTGGTGCTGACCTCTGGCAAGGACAGCTTTTGACTGCATCACAGTGTGACAGAAAAAAGGGAAAGAGAGCCCTGTGCAGAACAGCAACCCCTTCCCATCAGAACTAACTAGGACCAGCTAAAACCACATTAATACCTGCCATGGGTGGTGCCATGTGACCATCGCCCCCTAAAGGCCCCATTACTCATTATTGCTACAGTGGGGAGACTTCCTCCTATGAACCACAGCACCAACACGTTTTGGTTTGTTAACTTTCAGGGCTACAGGACTTTCAACTCCTACAATCTTCCTGCTTCAGCCTTCTGAGTGCTGGTGTTATAGGCGTGTGTGCGTGCATACATCACCATGCCTGACTGGCAGTCTTTTTCAAATGTAGGGAGCTGGGAAATAGAAGCATACTAGAAAAGTTTTAACAGAAAGTACTGGGGAAAAGATGTCCTAGAGGAGAGCAGTTTTCAAAGACAGCAAGCAGTGTTTTGTTTCACAGTACAGGGAATCGAACCCACGGCCCCCTGCATGCTGAGCTCTACCACTGAGGTACAGCCCCAAATCCTCGTGAGGTTTTAACCCAATGAATTTAGCTAAGATTTGAGAATATAAGGTAGGATTCACAACTTTTAGTCAAGCTATTAGCAAGGATTACCAAGGCACTTAGGGCCAAGACTTTTCACTGCACTATCTTCCAAGACATACTCCTTTCTCCTTTCTCCCCTACTCTCAATAGGTTCTACTACACCAGGCCTTTTTTCCTTTTACAATCTCTCACCTATCCTAATTTTCTAATTACTATTCTCATTTCCCACAATCCCCATTCCAGTTTACTCATTTAACTCTCCTCTACCTCAATCCCAAAGCAATTTTTGCTTCAAGTATTCTAAGCTGCAAAACCCTCTCGTCCAGGGCTTTGTGCTTTTGTGCCTACCTTGGCCATCCCTTCCTTAACCTAAACTCCATGACTGAGGGGGACAGGGCGTGGAGATGAAGACAGGGAGTCAAGACACACTAAGTGTAATTGATGGAACAAGGGAAGCCTCGAATTAAAGAGGAATATACGTATTTGAGGTAACAAAAATCAGCCATTTAATACCTTGGGCTGGAGGTGTGGGCCAGCCAGGGTGAAAACACTGGGTTCAGACCCTAGTACTGCATAAAAATCAGTGCTGGGGACCAACCTCAGGGCCTCACACACACCCCGCGGTAACCCTTCATGTTACTCACTGAAAAGCTGATTATCTAACATCAAGCAAGCACCAAGCCAGGTGCTGCTATGGTGGCTCGTGCCTGTGACAGTTACTCAGGGAGACTGCATCCCAGGCCAGCCCAGGCAAAATCCTCAAATAATGGAAGCGGGGCATGGTGGTGCATGACTGTCATCTCACCTATGAGGTAAGCAAAAATAGGACACCTATGTTCCATGGCTACACCGGCATAAACATGAGCCCCATTTGAAAAATACCTAGATCAAAAAGGGTTGGGGCGTGGTACCTGCCAACCAACTACAAGGCCCTGAGTTCAAACTCCAGTCCAAATAAATAATGAAATATTTACATTTGGCCATCCACTGTTAAGGCAAGAGTGCTGTTATTCCGAACTTGTAACAAAAAATGCAGCCTTCCTTCACGAAAAGAGTAATCCCATCTCCAGGCTACAAACTGCTACAGATCTGCTAAAGACAATCATTTTTGCCATATGAAGTAATTAGGTCAAGCCTGAAAACGTAGGTTCTGTTAGTTACCAGTATTAATGGAGAGCAGGGCAATCCACGCCTAATTCCCAGTCAGTAGGCTGTCTCTGTACCAGTGTGTTGCTGGTAAGTACTCTAAGCCCCCAACCTCAGAGAACAAAGACCAGCAACTTTACCAAGCCAGAACTTTCAAACAAGCTATTCTGTTGGTGGCTTCAGGTTAGGTACAAAATAATCTCACAGTTTAGCCAGGACTCAGTGTCAAAATTTAAGTTACCACTAATATATTAAGCAATATATTAAGTACAGCTACATCATTTCGTTTAACCTTCGCAAGTCACTGCAAAGCCCTGGGCAAATATTTTACCTACATGAAGAAATAAAGGCTCAGAACAACGAAAACTGCAATTAAAGTCCCGAACTTCATGAAACAATTCAAAGTTCTGTCGACAGCACCACGCACCCTTCCAGGAGACAGATCAAACACTGCTGCTTTAAACATGAACGAAACTACTTTAACCAGATAATGTCCTATTTACAAGTAAGTGTATTTAGACAATTTCAAGTCTTTTTTAAATTCCAGACCTGATAGAATTGAGTGTATGCACCGTCACTATTTAATATCTCAGTGAGACAGTAACGTGAAGATTTGGTTGCTTGTCCACAGAGTACCACCCAGAAATAAGATATAAACCATTTTCAGGGGAAAACATGCATGCATTTATTTTTAAGAATTCCCAATAAGGGGGGAAAAAATTCAACATCTTTAAAAATGTGTTTATTTTTCTTTTAAAAATCAGTTGTGTACAAAAGTGTTTCGTAGTTTTTAATTCTCAAGACAAATACCCAGCCCTCCACCCACAGCCCACCCTGCTTCAATGGTGTTTCTGGTAGCCCACCCATTTTCCCCTTACAGGAAGTAAATGGCTCAGAGTAGACCCTCCTACAGCATTTCTCACCACTAACAAGACTGTTTTAGAGCAGAGACCTAGAGAAGCTAACGAGCAAGGTTCTTCCTCAGTGAGGTTAATGAGAATCCCTAGAATGGCAGTAAACTTCCAGCAGACACCACAACAAAGCACCATCAATTGCTGAAAGCTAAAAAATAGATATTTTCAATATTTTTTTCATTTTCTATTGGAAAAGTCTTTAAATTACATTAAATAAGTCTCTTTTCCCCCAAAGAAATAGTCTAGCTTTTATTATGATGCCTGTAAAAAGCAGGTTAACAGCAAGCAGACAAGGATCGTTAATAGCACAGTGCAAACGACTTCCATCCACTCACCCTCAAGAAGCAAACTGACAGACCTGTGCCACACCTGATTATGTATAGCAGCATGGTTGAAACAACCAAGCAAAAGGTGGCACATTCACAACTTACATTTAGGGATGATTGCAGGTTTATGAGGTCACGTCAGTCCAATAAAGCAGTAACAGAACTGGGGCAAGGGAGACACTAACACCCCCACCCCTATGTCACAATATTTTTAAGCTGCATTGCAACAGTGCAAATAGAATGTGACATAATTTGTAGACACTGAAGAAAAGTCACACTTGAGAAAAAGACTATCAGTAAATACTTCAAGTTGCCTTCTTCCCAGTGATAAACTGGTAAGCATTTACTTTATAAACTGGTGCTAAAAAAAATGGAAATGCAACTTTTTAGTATCAATGTCTTTAACCTGGAATTGAAATTCATTAGAACTAGAAAAAGTGATTAATACAACACCATTTTGTAAAAATCCATAAAATAAACTGTAAACAGACAGCTTCCTTTCTTATCTAAACATTCCTGTCTATGTACAAGGAGGTACACCTGGCTCCAGCTCTTCTCTGCCCAGATTCATCTTAAACCTTCAAAACAACAGCAAAGATTGTAAATTTCCTGTGTTGCCACAGTGAGTGAAAAAGTCACATCTCTACTGCAGAGTTGTAAAAGCTCAAATCAGGCATACATTTATGGTCAAGATCTGCCTTTCACATTGGTAAACTTACTTAGCAGCCTACACAGTGATACGCTGCCATCTGTAGTGCAGAAATAAGCAGCATGTACTTCAATTGCCAATTCTGTCTTACACTTAAAAATAATTAGTTTGCATAGTTTTAAGTGCCACCAACAATCACAAATGTGAAAAATTTAAAAATCAGTCTTTTGTTTCATAGACTACTCTCCTTAAAAGCAAAATACTGTTTCCAAATGTTTATATATTCTTTGAAGGCGTTAATTAAATGACAAAACTCTAAACATTGCAGGGACCCAACTCAGAGCATCAAATTTAGTACCAGTATTACTCAAATAGTTATATACTACTGTGTATTTATTTGGGTCACAACATACTCATTCTGTAATCTGTACTGATACTATAAACTAATTATTTCTCCTTTTAAAAATTAAAATAAAAAATTATAATAAAAGCCTATTTGAGGATCAGTAACTTCCAGAAAAATCTATCTGCCCTAAAATGGGATTTCACATTTTAAAAAATGAAAATAAACGATTTTGAAAATAAACCATTTTGAGGGCTTTTAAAGCTAACAAATTCTCAAAACACTGAGAATTATGAAAAATAATTTCAACCAAGTTAGTTTTAAGTGTCCTTTTCCAAACATTTAACCACAGGAAAGAGCAATCACTTTAGTTTGGCAAACTAAATCCACCAGTAGAGACATGGAAAACAGTGGCTGGAGGTGTGGCTCAGGTGGGTAGAGGACTTTGCTTAGCAAACCCATCCTGAGTTCAAACTCCAGCACCATCAAAAACAGAAAAAGCCGGCACTGGTGGCTCACGCCGATAATCCTAGATACTTGGGAGGCAGAGATCAGGAGGATCATGGTTCGAAATGAGTCCCAGAAAATAATTTCCAAGACCCTATCTCAAAAAAACCCCATCACAAAACAGGGCTGGTGAGCAGCTCAAGTGGTAGAGCACCTGCCTAGCAAACTGAGGCTCTAAGTTCAAACCCCAATAATGCCAAAAAAAAAAAAAAAAAAAAAGAGAGAGAGAGAGAGAGAAAAGGGGAAGGGGGGAAAAGTGAAAACAAAATATCAGGACGACAGTGGGGAACCTACAAGAAAAAAAAAAGTTACATTAAATGAAAATGAGCAAACTTTTAAAAATAAAAAGGGTGAGGATGAATGAAATGGAGTTTGAAATAGTGTCTCAATTAGTAGCGCAGGTTAACCTAACTCTTGGATCTTTCTTGCCTCTGCCTACCAAGTGCCGGGAATACCAGCAAGCACCACCATACCCAGCTGAATACAAACGTCATTATAATGAAGAATTCATTACGCAGAAAACTGTTAGACCAGATATGTTCAGATTTCCTGGGCACTGGTGATAGTGAAGTGTAGTCAGATGAGCAGATACAGCATGGGGCCAATGTGTATAAAATTCCAAGCAGAAGATAGCTGCCTCCAAGAGCAAAGTACATAATGCTTTCCTTTACGAAACTCTGAGTTCTCTCTCTCCTTAGACATACCCTGATAATATAGGCAAACAGTAAACTGGACAGATGTGTTTGATATTTTTAAAAATCCTAACATTATCAAGCCACCCTCCATTTAAAAAATTATTTTAACCAACAATGGAATAAAACTGTCCGTATTTTCACACAATCCCACCTTATTTCAAAATTAAAGTACAGCTATTTAAAATAAATAACAAAACAATCTTGTTTCCTTTGGCATCTTTAGAAAATAACTAAACTACAACAATAAAAGGATGTGATTGTATGAAGAAATTTATGCTTAGGCAAACATAGTGGGAAAAAACATAGCAACTTGTGTTTACTATACAGTAATATCAACTACAAGAGTTCACTGTTAAGAAAGCCTTATAGGTTTTTGGAAGAACCTTCACATTTTTAACATTACAATAATATTTAATAATGGTTCTTTTATTGCTTGTAGTATATCAAGATTGTTGAAAAGTCAAATGAAGCTATGTTGACTTAGTAGGTTCAAAAATTATTTTCCAAACACTTAATGATTATAATTTAAGATAAGTAACACTTGAAGAAAGCAATTGTTTTATGACTTTCAATATACAACCTTACTTTAATTCAGACTGATTCCATTACATTTTATTTTGCATTGGTCCTGAAAAATTAGTAAGAATTTTATTTCAATATATCAACTGCCTGCATAAATCCACTTCAACCTTCATAAAATGGTCAAATTAGGTGTTGGAGGTTGCAAAACTAATGATTTTCAAGTTTTTGAACTAAAAATGAAATGTAACAATACGAATAGAAAGTCCGACTATGTACAAGGTAAAGTTTCAATTCTCGTATTATCAGAAACATCATAAAGAAAGCTAGATTTATAACACACTTCTATTCCTATATGCATCTGAAGTATGTACAGTAAAACACCAGCACAGCATTTGTGTTATCAATAGAGGGAAGTGCAAGCAAGAGTGACTTTCAAAGTATTTCATAAAGCAATCTCTCTATAAAGCCCCAAGTTAAGCTAAAATAACTGGAAACAATTGATTGCATCCTTCCAAGCTCTCAAAAATTTCATCGGTTTAAGTTCAACGTTGAATTCACTGAAAAACTAGTTGGGTCCTATCACTGAATCTGGGAATATTGCAACATTAAGTATTTACTATGTTTGCAAGAGAAATCAAATTGACGGCTCCATTTTTACATTATTACTTACGTACCCAGGAAAACTTTAAGTGTGTGAAGAACCATGACAAAACATTCCAAACCTATGATTTAAAAATGGAGCAAGGGATACTATCCATTTTTTTTCTGTCCATATTTGCTAGCTCATTTCCCCACCAAATAAATACAGAGCAATTTACCATTAGAACATTAGCTGTGTATGGTACCGGGAAAAAGATACAGGGTCCCAATCTGTTGACAGGGACAAAAGGTTCTGAATAGGTCACCATCTTCAATTCTGAATAAATTTCATATTTACGAATTTTCTAATACATAAAATGGTGGTCTTTTCAGCTACCCTCCTAAGAAGTCAAGTACAAGCATGCAAGTAAATTCACAGGCACAGAGGATCCATGTTAAAAACAGTTAAGGTAGCTGTGATGCAACACCAACAATTTGAATGGCCCTGACACACTCAAAATATTATCTTAATTATTCAACAAAATCCTGAAGCAAACTCTTGCTAGTCTTCTTACACTGCTAAACACTAAAGTAGCATGTTTTTTCCATGGTTTTAGCTTAGCTCAAAGAATTTTTATACTATTAAGAAAAAAAATTAAAGTATTTCCCCTTTTTTTAAATTTACACAGACGTTTAATTAGCTTTATTTACAGAGCAGGGATTTTTTTTTCTTCAGTCTCCAATGGTGCCTAGATAACATCATTAGGCAAGAATGCCAGTTTAAAAGAAATTTATGCAGAATCCTAGAAATAACAGATGGTGGTGCTCCTCAAGAGGCAGACTTGACTATCGGCAGCGCTCTACACTCAGTTACTCAGAAGCAATTCTGTTGCAGTCTCGACGGAATTCAACAAAAAAAAAAAAAAAAAAATCACTGAATTAATAGCGAAGCACTTACCAAAACAAGATTTTCTCTTATTTGTCAGACCATTAATGGCAGCAAAGGATTTGCAGCAGTAATTTAAAATCAATATATTATTAAAATCAAGACTCCTTGATGTACTTACCCTATCAAAGCCCATAGCACATAGGTTTTCTATTTTTTTGGTGTATTCTGGACTAGAAACTGGTGCTCCAGCATACACATGTGCCCAAAGTCGAGCTGTCTGTTTGAACATTTCAGGATTTTGTTTGTACTATATAGGGAGAAAAAAATGGATTGGTATGACAATAGTTTTAATAATATAACAGCTCAATCCTTATTTGCCTAAGACTCTGCTTTTTTCCCAAAGAAAATTAATTTACACTTATGGAGTGCGACATTCAGGCTTCAGGTGTAGCTCAGTGGTACAATGTGTGCTTAGCGAGCACAAGGCCCTGAGTTCAATTCCCCCAGCACCTCACATATCAAAGAATGAAATGTGATTTACTTTTCATTGCAGATAAGCTATAATATTCAAGAAAATACTTGAACATGAAACTTTGATTCACTCATTGATTTGATAAAGACAAAGTTAATCCATTTGCATCTCTAAACAAAAAACTAGTTTCTTAGAGAAATATTAGAAATATTCCGAACCTTAAACACAGAGGGAAAAAGAACTAAACAAACTTACTACCTTATAATTTTATATGAACATTAACAATTAAGTGTGACCAACTAAATTATGCCGTTTTCCCGAGAGTTGTATTAGTATACAGTAATTTAAGTAAACACTACATGTAAAGTACTAACTTATACCATGTTTTAAGATCATTTTCAACTCACAAGAAAATACTTTCAGATGGTAAGAATTCCCACATGCACTGGGAAAAGGTAAATTCATTCTCAAGAAGTTGTGGCCACCAATACTTACAAAGTACAAAATAACAATAAATTCAACTCACTTTTAGTTCTTCTCAAAGTATTATAAACATTTTGAGCATTTTAAAATGATATATCTAGTTTCTACCATTAATTTACAACAAGGAAATAATTAAATAATTAACTGTTTTAGGTACTAAAAGAAACCTGAGTTGTCTGGGGTATGGTTCAAGTAATAGAGCCCCTGCCTAGTAAGTACAAGAATAGGAGACAAATCCCAGTACCTCCAGGGGAAAAGGAAAGGGAAGAAAGAAAGGGGGTATGGGATTAGGGATCTTGAACACAGGAGTTTCAACAACAATACAATTCAGGAGATAAACCTGGTTTTGCAGTTTAAATCATACAAAATAAAGAATTTGGATTCAAGGAACAGTGGAGCTGCCAACAAGTTTTCAGTAGCTAAATAAAAATAATTATTTGCAGCCAGGCGACAGTAGCAAACATCTGTTCAGGAGGCAGAGATCAGGAGGACCATGGTTCGAAGCCAGCACAGGCAAAAAGTTCATGAGACCCTATCTCAAAAAAAACCTTCACAAAAAAGGGCTGGTGGAGTAGCTCAAGAGGAAGGTACTAAATTCAATCCCAGTACCACCAAAAAAGTAAGATAAAAATAAATTGCACTTTAGAAAGCTGTTATATTAGAAACATGTTAGAAGATTGAGCAAACAGTAGAGGTTGAGAAAGGGAGTTCTATGGCTTTTTTAATGAGCAATTTGAAAAGAAAAAAAAAAGCAGTCTTTGGCAATCAGAGCAAGTATGCAAACATAGCGGCAGCTCTGAGGATCAAAATCAAGAGAAAAGGAGGCTGGGGGTGTAGCTCAATAGCACAGCATTTGCTTAACCCACCCAAAGCCCTCAGCTTCATCCCCACATTGCAAAAAAAGGAGAAAGATAAGAAAAGAAAACAGAAAAAATCCAAAGGCTGTAACTTGGGTAGTTAGGTAATTGATGAAGGTGTAACAGAAAAAAGTTTTGCAGGATTTACGATTTTGCATTCAGTTAGGGCAATCTTGTACTGGGGTGTACAGGAGCATTCTTATAGAGATCTTGGGCTCAAGAGAGGAGTCAAGTCTTTCTCAAAGTACAGGTGAAAACATCAGTGTGGGTGAAATCATCCAAATGTATATAATGGAAAACTAAAGGGAAAAGAACCAAGAAACTATACTTAAAGGGATAAAAAGAAGTGAAGAAATAATTATAGCAACTAACAAATCTAAATTCAGAAAAAGGAAGTATTGCAGAAGTCAAAACAAAAGGCTGTGGTTTAACAACAAAAAGGAATGCTTAGTAAATCATCATGGCTTATAGTAGGGATTTATACACTACTTCTAATTTTCTTTTACCTAACTTTTTAAATTTTTATTCATTCATGCATTTATTCTTGGCACTACTGAGGTCTGAACTCAGGGCTTCACACTTGCTAGGCAGGCGCTTGACTGTGAGCTACTCTGCCTGTCCAAATGACACAATCTGAATTTATTTATTTTTTTTTTTTTTGGTGGTACTGGAGTTTGAACCCAGGGCCTCATGCTTGCTAGGCAAGTGCTCTACCACTTGAGCCACTCTTCCAGCCAAACTATTTTTTGAAAGGGTAAGATATTAATAAATTATGGCTACTGGATGGCACAGTCTCTGTCCAATGCTGCCACAACAGCTGGAAAGTAAAACAAAGAAGAGTGTGTGACATTATTTACAAAACCAGTCAACATGTGGTTATTCTTTTTATTTTTGGCAGGGGTGGGGGTTCCTTGAACTCAGAGCCTTATGCTTGCTAGGAAAGACTATTACTTCAGTCACCCCGCCACCACCCAAAACCAGCCAATCTGGATGTATATTTGTTGATTTCTTATCTTAGAGGGATTAAAGGTTTAAAACAAAAAATATTTATTCCACTGAGTAATTAGAAAGTCATTGGTAGGGCTGAGGCACGGTTCAAAAGCACCTTTCAAGCACAAGGCCCTGAGTTCAAACACAAGTACAGCCAAAATACACAAAAGAAAAGTAACCGGTAATGCTAGTGTGCCATTTCACTACCCTATCACAAACAAAAGGGCTGGTGGAGTGGCTCAAGGTATATGCCCCAAGTTCAAACCCAGTAACAGGGCGGGAACGGGATGGGGAGAGACTGGAGGGATGGATATACACGTAATAAAGCATGTGTAGTAAAATGTTACTAACACAATCTGGATGGTAAGGATATGTGTGTTCACTGACTATGTGTATTTGAAACTTTCATATGTCAGGAAAACAGCATGTATTATGTACCCAAATCAACCATTATTTTAAAAACTAATAAAATTTTCACTATTACATCTGATAAAATAATGTTAGAGGGAGGAACACATGTTCTTTTTGTTGTTACACAAGTGTAGAAAGATGTCAAAAGCAGCCACCTTACCTGATTTGCCACTACTGCATCTTGTGGATCATCCGGTTCTGCAGCTGCCAGCAGTGCTTGCAATGACAACAACACAGTGCGCAGAGTCATTGCTGCAGCCCTGAATGTAAAAACAGGAAAATACCGCACTTTAACAGGGCTCTGAATGGCGAAAGCAAGGTGTATGTTTGCTTAATAAAATAAAAAAACAGCTACTGGAGAAAAAGTAATTTATATTAAGAATGAAGTTAAATTTCAGAAATTAATTTACACATACACACACGCATTGAGTCTTTCAAATTTCTCAGACTGGGCTTGTTTTTTTTCTCTTATTGTTTTATTGTTGCTAATAGTGGCACTCTTTTCAATGGTACTCTAGACACAAGATATTGTTGAACAAACATCCTCTAACTTTTAAGAAAGTCTGAAATCATTCCATAACCTCCTAAAACAGGGTAAGATTTCTGCTTAAAATACGTTACTTAATTCATATTTCTAAATGTGTTTATGAAGAAAGTATTATCTTTATGAAGCAAATAGTTACCTAGAAAATAAAAACTACACAACTAAAAAGGCCGTTCTTAGTTTTAACACTTAAAAAAATTTTGTTTCAAGCCGGGTCTGATGCCACACATTTGGAATCCCACCTACTTGAAAGGCAGACATCAAGAGGACTGCAAATTGAGGCCGGCCCAAGAAAAGAGGGAGACCATATCTGAACAAACAAGTTAGGTGTTGTAGTTCACATCTGTAATCCCACGTTTAGGTAGGAGGATCAGTCAGAAGTCCACCAGGGGCAAAAAAAAAAAAAAAAAGTCTGAGATGCTATCTGAAATATAACTAAAACAAAAATGTCTGGGGGTACAGCTCAAGTGGTAGAGCATTTACCCTAGCAAGTGCAAGGCCCCCAAAAAAATTTTTTTGTTTAACCAAGTAATAATGAGATATTTATAAACACAGAAAACAATGTTGAAAAATGTTGAAGAATATACCCATATATTCATTTTTACCACACAAATTAGATCACTCTAAACCAGCCTTTTCCAAATGGGCCCAGGATCCAAACAACTGAAGAGGGGAAATTACTGTATTTTAATTTTCCCAGGAATGATACCTCAGTTTACAGGTGCACCACCAACAAATATCTTCAGGCAATGAATCTAACTGAAAGTTGTTACCCCAAACTAGTAGCATCAACATAACTTGGAAACTTGTAAGAAATGAGAATTTTCAGCCAAGAACCACTGAATCAGAACATAGGGGAGTTTTAACAGGTACTCCAAGTGATTCTGATGCACACTAATATTTGAAAAGTACTATTCTTCACAGCTAACTAACAAGGGATGTTCTACACCAATGAAATAAAATCAATACCACGTCCATAGCTCTACACTTTATATATTAGAGAAAAACTCCCCGATAACTGGCTCCTTAGAAGGCTCTTAGACAAGGTGGAAGCAATGGTGCAATCTGTAATCCCAGCATTCTGGAGGCTGAAGAAGGAGGATCCAGAGTTCAAGACCAACCTTTAAGACTGTCTCTAAAAGCAACAAAAAAGCAGAATAAAGTTTTATTGAGGCAGAAACAGGAGGATCATGGTTTGAAGGAAAAAGTAAAGAAAAAATAAGAAAGAGTCTATCTCAAAAACAAGCCAGACATTTTGGTACAAGGCTGTAATCCCAAGGTAAGTCTGGGCAAAACCAAAAGGACTTATATGAAAAACAAACTAAAAGGTAAAGAACTGAGGGTGTGGCTTAGGTGGGAGAGCACCTGGTTTCTAAGTATGAAGCCCTGAGTTCAAACTTCAATTCCACAAAAAAAAAAAAAAAGGAAAAAGACTTAGATATATCAGCATAAAGCTGACAGAAAACAGCAAAAAAGAGAGATGGGGGAAGAAAACACAAACTGGCACAGAAATGGAACGTGCAACACTTGAGCTGACTACCTAATATCTCAGAGGTGTTTTTTTGGGTTTTTTTTTTCCCCCTTTTTTGTAGTGCTAGGGATTTAACCCAGACCCTGCACCTAATGCTAGACAAGAACTCTATTACTGAGGCTACACACCAACCTAACCCACCCCCCCCCACCCAGTACTAGGAATTGAACCCATGCATGCTAGGCAAGTGATGTACCAGTTATACTACTAGCCCAACTAGTTTTCCATTTCTTTTCCTTTTTGTTTTTTTCTTAAAGATAAGATTTTGATATATATTGCTTATGGTAGCCTCATTCTCACCATCCTGCTCTGCCTCAGTCTCCTGAAGGTTCAGATAACAGGTGTGCACCACCATGTCCACCCCAATGAACTTCTGCTTTTTGTCTTTTAAGACTACGTCTCACTATGTAGCCAAGTACAGCCTGGAACTCACTATGGAGCCCAAGCTAGCCTCAAACTTGTGATCATTCCTTACTCAGCCTCCCAAGGGCATCACCATGCCCAGTTCTAGAAATGCACATTTAAGGCAACCTCATTTTAAAATCCATGGCATCATTTTAATCAAAATCCTAATCTGCGTAAAATGTGAAATAAGGTTATTTCTTTTAAGGCAATGTATCTGAACAGTGAAGAAAAAAATCTTCACTAAATGGAATTGGGTCATACCAAAATAATTATTAAACTCACAACTATTTTAACATAAAGACATGTGAAAGAACAGCATTTTTATCAGCTGGGTACCAGCGGCTCATGGCTGTAATCCTAGCTTTTAAGGAGACAGATATCAGAAGGATCATAGTTCGAAGCCAGTCCAAGGCAAATAGTTATGAAGACCCTACCTCAAAAATACCCATCACAAAAAAAGGTTGACAGAGTGGCCCTGAGTTCAAGCCCCAGTACTACTTTAAGGAAAAAAAAAAAGCATTTTCATCCTATTAAGTCTTAGAAAGTCCTTTATAACATCACACAGGCAAGCTACTATACACTATTAATTTCATCAAGGTGCTGGTTCTTAAAAACTGATAACCTCTTGAAAGAAAGAAGTTGAGGGTGGGGGGAGGAGGGGGAAGTGAACCAAACATTGTATGCACATATGAATAAAAATAAAAATAAAAGCAGGGAGGGAATTAAAAAAACTAAAGAAAAAGAAGTTGAATCTTACATCATATAAAAAATTAACTCAAGTGGGGCGGGGCCCAGACGCTTTCTCGCTGCTTTGGGAGTGGGTTTTCTGGTTGAAGTTGGCACAAGTTGTCTGTCCCCGCCGCACCACCATGCTCAGTGTTCCTGAAAGTACACCTTTCACAGCAGTCTTAAAGTTTGCAGCAGAAGAATTTAAAGTTCCTGCTGCAACAAGTGCGATTATTACCAATGATGGAATAGGAATAAATCCTGCACAGACTGCTGGAAACGTTTTTCTAAAGCATGGTTCAGAACTGCGAATTATTCCTAGAGATCGCGTTGGAAGTTGTTAATATGTGCTACTTGGAGCATATAATTACCTTCAAAATAAATATTGGTATTTTTTGTTGTAAAAATTGAAATCAGGCATTTGAGGAACTGACAACACCAAGAGTCAATGAAACAATGAAAGCTGCACACAGTCCTTTCTTGTTTGTACTCTTCATGTGAAGAGGGGATGCTTGTGAGTGGAGTGTACAACCACCACAGAAAGTCATAGATTTGTCGATAGCTACCTCACAATACAAGCAGGGAGTTCATTTGTAGAAAATGGATTATCCAACTATGTTTCTATAACTAGAGATGACTAATAATTCTTTCTGAGAACACTTGGAAAATTAAAATTTGCTGAATTTTAAAAAAAAAAAAATTAACTCAAAATGGAATAGAGACCTAAAAATACAAGCTGAAAGTAGAAGGAAAAAAAAAGGGAAAGCTTTATGACACTGGATTTGGCAAAGGTTTCATAGATATAATAACACAAGAAGCGAGGAAAATAAGGGAAAATAGATTACAAGTACCTCAAAATTACATCAATACTTAAAATACAACTCACAGAATGGGAGAAAGTATTTGCAAACCATGTATCTGATAAGATTAATATTCAGATCATTTAAAAAAACATTTTAAAATCTCCTACAAGTCAACAGTGACAAAACCAACTTAAAAATATGCAATGGGGCCTGGGGAGGTCTAGCTGGATCACATTCCATCTCCTCAGTATTTGTGAGGCCTGGGATTGGGGGGAGGGGTTTGGATGCACAGGGGAATGCTGAAAATACATACTAATGGCTATTAGGCACATGAAAAAAAATACTAAACTTTACTAATGGTTATGGAAACACCAAACAAAACCACAACAGCCAAACAGTGGAAGCAATCTAAGTTTCTATCAATGATGAACAGATAAATAAAATGTTTAGCGTTTGTATACACATAAGTAGCCTAAAAAAGGAATTTCTAATACATGCTACCATACAGAGAAACCTTGGAGACATGAAAGGACAAACAGGGTTCCACTAACAGAAGATTCCTAATAGTTAAATTCATAGAGACAGAAAACAGAATGGTAGATGGGAGTTGCCAAAAGCTGAGGGTGGAAAAAATGGGAAATTTCAGTATGCAAGACTGGATGTACAAAGTGGATGTACTTTAACATCATTAAATTGTACACTTAAAAATGGTGAAGATGTAGCAGTCTCCCTCTCCCATGATACACCCACGCACAGGAAATCAATGTGAGTCAATGCCCTGTAAAGCTATCCTTATCTCAACCAGCAAAACCCCTTGTTCCTTCCTATTATTGCTTATACTCTCTCTACAACAAAATTAGAGATAAGGGCAAAATAGTTTCTGCTGGGTATTGAGGGGGGGGGGAGCGGGAGGGGGTGGAGTGGGTGGTAAGGGAGGGGGTGGGGGCAGGGGGGAGAAATGAACCAAGCCTTGTATGCACATATGAATAATAAAAAATAATAATAATTAAAAAAAAATGGTGAAGATGTAGCAGTCTCCCTCTCCCATGATACTGTTTACTCTTTCAACTTGCGCTTGGTAGAGTGGCTCCCACAGAGAGTGGCAAGGAGAACCATTCTGCCACCGACAAAGTGGTGTCCCAGCATCAACTCTCACAAGCAAAACATGGAGGGGAAGAGTGTTCCTAGGGTGCTCAAAGAGATGTGGATAATTTTCATGAAAGGTGATGGGTACTCCGTATGTGTTCACCAAGCTCAAAAAAGGTGTCTGGTCCAAATGAGTATGCAATGTGACATACCATATCCAAGTACAAATATTGAGAAAACATAGTTAGAATGAGGATTCACAAAACAAGTTCAATACTTTGGTTTGTGTTACCATTACCACCTTCCAAAATCTATAAACAGTCGCCAGATGCTGGTGACTCATGCTTGTAATCCTAATTACTCAGGAAGATCAAAGTTCGCTGCCAGACCCTATCTCTAAAATACCCAACACAAAAAAAGGGGGCTGGATGGAGTGGCTTAAGTAGAGTACCTGCCTAGCAAGAATGAGGTCTAGTTTAATAATTGGTGAAAGTTAATACCAAGACAAAACCTACCTGTGTCAGAACCTAAACACTACAGAAACTGTACCTTTCTTTGGTGGTATGTATTTATTTGCTGTACTGCTCTACAGTTTCAAAATATATGTACACTACCACTTGAGCCACTCTGCCAGCCCCCAAAATATAATTCATTAATGACAAAAGTATGTAACTGAAAATTTTTTATCCCATTTGTTTCACAAAGTACTAATTAAATCCATACTTCATGAGATTTTTATTAGCTTAAAGCTATAAAAATATATCTCAACAGTCAAAAACAAATAAGAAATTTCAAAATGTTAGCTAATTTTTGTTAACTGGTGAATGAATAAGTAAATATTTTAAAAATCTACCTTTTGGGGACTGGAGATAGAGCTAAATGGTAAATCACTCCACTAGCACACACATGGCACAGATCAATCCTTAGCCCTGCCCAAACAACAACAAAAACTATCTTCAGGGCTGGTGGAATGGCTCAAGTGGCAGAGCACCTACCTAGCAAGAGTGGTGGCCCTGAGTTCAAACACCAGTGCCACTTTAAAAAAAAACTATCTTCAGTAAATCAACTTAGCTCCAGTCTCAAATCAATAAATACACAACAGCTGTTGAAAATCACCTAAATAAAGCAAGTCAGAAGCAAGAAGGTAAGAGGTAATACAGTTTAGTGAAGCTTCAGGTAAGATTTTGAAGTTTCACTTTAACAGATTTGTAGACAGGGTATGGAACACACACACACAAAAAGAAAATCCAGCACATGATGAATTTTCAGCTAGCACACACATGTATGCACATGCACATGTATGTGTGGTACATGGGTTTAAACTCAGCCTTGCACTTGCTAGGCTAAGTGCCCTAAAAAAGCATCAGATTTTCTACTGAGGGAGTATCAATTCTGTCTTGAGGTGTTCATTATATAATTCAAATACTGATAATAAGCAGTATGAGTCTGGAGTTTAGGAAAAATAACTGAGTTGCCAGTGAATACTGAGGAGCTTAAGAAATCAGATGAACTCATCAAGGTATGTAGCTGAAGGGAGCAGAGGTCCAAGATTGATCACTGATGTGTCCTAACGTGCAAAGATCCAGGAGTTAAGGAACTAGTTAAGGAGTATGGGAGTGGGCACAAGAAAGAAACAACAGAAGAACTGATATCCTAAAAGCTAAGCAAAAAGAATAGTTCTCCAATACTGAAAATATGCATTTATATCTAGAATCGCAGAGCTATAAGGGGCCAAGAAGGTAACTTTATAGATAAAAACATTGAGGCCTACAAGTTCAATAAACTGGCAAAAGTCACAAATCAAAAAGTGAAAGTAAGGGAGGGGGTGGGGGCAGGGGGGAGAAATGACCCAAGCCTTGTATACACATATGAATAATAAAATTTTTAAAAAAAGTGAAAGTCCAGGAAGATGAAGTTAAGTCTGTTCCAAAGTGGAACAAGAAACTAGATACAAGAGGGATATTCTGAGGGGCAAGGTTTATTTGGACACACTATTGGAATGGAAAAAGAAACGAAACGGAAAGTCTAGTCTGTTCACCCAGTTTACTAAGTAACCTAAATTATCCATAGGCTAAATGTCAATATTCCTATGTTACCCTTTTCAGGTATCACTTTTAATTTAAGGACTCAAAACACATAGCTTAAAAATTCCAGTACTAATATATAATTTTCAGATTGGATAGCCAGTCTACTAACGTAGTCTTGGATAAACACCACACATACACACAAAACAGTCTTGGTTAATGTTGTTCTACGTTCCTTTTTTTTTTTATTATTTATACTTTTCCCCAATATTATGTACTAACAGTGTAAAAGCAAAAAGATGAGACCTGTTGAAACTATTCTAAGAATGGGGGGGAAGGGGGATAAAAGAGAATAATGGTGACGGTGAATTTAAGATATATTGTAAGCACTTTTGTAGATGCCACTATGTAGCCCCAGTACAACAGAAAAAATTAAATACTCTTAGCTTCCTAATAATAAGAGTACAAATAATAAAAAAAAATTTTAAAAAGCACCATTATTTTTAAATGCCAAATTTACAAATTTAAAGTAAACCAGTGGCTCAGGCCTGTAATCAATCCTAACTGCTCTGGAGACAGACATCAGGAGGATCAAGGTTCAAAGCCAGCCCTGAAAAAAGTTCTCAGGACAGTATCTCGGAAATACCCTTCACTAAAAAGGGCTAGAGTAGTGGCTCAAGGTGCTCAAGGTGTAGGCCCTGAGTTCAAACCCTAGAACCACCAGGGGAAAAAAAAAAAGGAAACTCAATATTGACTAAAGGGAATACACACTCAAGATGTAGTATAAGGAGGGAATAAAGGAGAATGGTGGAGAGGGTGAATTCAAGTATGATATGTGATATATTTGACATACCGTAAGAAACTTTGTAAATGCCACAATGTGCTCCTATCCAGTACAACAATAAAATTAAAAAGAACAAAAAGATGTAGTGTGAAATGATGTAATGTTCGGAATAAAAATTATTCGATTTGATGTTCAAATACTATAAAAATTCTACTTTTTATAATTACTCCATACTGAGGTTATGGTCAGAATTCTATCAAGTTTCTGAAAAGCATTTGTCACTTTTACATGAAGTTAATTTAATTACATGTATAATCTGTATTATGAAATAAATAACTCAATAAAAATTAACTTTTGTTCTTAGAAAAGGAAAAAGAAAAACCTTTTCCCCCTTTTCGTAAGACAGGGTCTCATTATGCAGATCAGGCTGGTCTGAAACTAAGCAATCTACCTCTCTCAGCCTCCCGAATGCTGGGATTATAATAATGAGCTCCGGTGCCCAGCTTCACTTTATACCTTTCCACTTCATCTATAAAATCAAGTACTAAATAATTAACAGTTGCCTTCTGGCTATGGCCTACCATCAGATTTATCATTGTTAGAATATGTCAGGTTCTATTCTAAAAGAATTATCTAAGCCAACTCCTTTAATCCACTCAGCACTATGAAGCAGACATAAATTTCATTTTACAAAATGAGGTAACTAAGACACAACACAATTTAGCTTATTTGCTTATGACTACAGAGCTTCATAGATGGAAGAGCCAGGACTTGACCTGATGGTTACAGCATAGGAACTCCTAAAACACTAAATGGCTAGAGACACGTGTATGTTGGTACATGCCTATAATCCCAGAAGGATCTCAAATTCAATGCCAGCCAGTGCTACATAGCAAAACCCTGTTTTAAAAATAGACAAAACCACTAAACTGCTAAGATTCAATCAGACAAACCAAGTAAAAACAGTGACAGACAAATGTAGATAATACATACAAAGATACTCCTTGAAATCTGAGAACCTGTACTCAATTAACACAACTTCTAACAATTTTGTTGCATATATTCCATCTGAGTGAGCGATGGCTACTTCAATACTTAGTGGTCTCAGTATTTGGTCTCTTACAAATAACTTCCTGAGCTGATAATTAAATTTACCAAAATAACAAATGAAAAGACTTTTTAAAATGTAAAATTAGAATCTGACACTATCTAAAAAGTGTTCATTTAAGTAGAGAAATAAATCAAGTGTAATACATTTTCAATTATGTACTTATGAGACTTAACAAAGTTACTGCGCAAAGAAGTTGATGTATAATATATACTTATGTTTTCTGGAAATTACATCATTAACATTGTCAAGATCTTTGTATTCCTATGACAGAGGGGATAAAGTAAATCCAAAATGTCTTACCATTGATCTTTCAGGATATCCAAACAAATAGCTCCTGTGACAGAACTAATATTAGGATGCCATATTTTAGTGATAAACCGGACCTAGAATATAAAGCATACTTGAGTTTTTAAATAACAGAAATAAAACATATAACGCTTAACCAGAAATACAAGAAAATTAACTCCTCAGATAAATGATGCAATACTTCTATTACATCATTTTGCCAAAGTGAAGGAAGGAGTGTAGAAGGCAAAGCACTCAGTAAACCAAATGTTGTCACTGACATACATTCTTTTAAACCTTTTAACAAATGGTTTTTACATTCAAAAATATCCAACAATTACTATGTGTTAAAACAGAGACTAAAATCTATTTGGGTAAAGTGGTACATAAAATCAAAATACAGACAGTAAGTGGCACCATTCCTAGTGTGAAACCAGTTAGAGTCCAGAATAGGTTTAAAGAAAAAAAAAAAAAAGAAAGAAAATCAATGCATGACAACATAGTAAAAGACTATAATGTCATAACTTGTCTGTACAATTTTTCCCAAATTATTTTTTTTAGATCATTCAAATATTTGAAGGTCTATTTTGTGTCACGTACCGAAGACACACTGAAGCTTAGATTTTCAGAAACTTTCACCAACCAGATTATACATTCTAAGACTGTAAGCATGTCACTATTGGTCTGGTATAGAATAAACCAACAAGTAAAAAAGCTAACTCTATGAAACCATGAGGAAATAAACTAGTACATTTAAAAAAAAAATTGTAAGATGTGGTGGTCAGTTGGTTGCCAGTGGCTCACACCTTTAATACCAGCTACTTGGGAGGCTGAGATTGGGAAGATCACAGCTCAAGGCCAGCCCAAGCAAACAGTGTGAAGACCCCATCTCTAAAATAACCACAGCAAAATGCACTAGAGGTGTGGGTCATGTGGTAGAGCACCTGCTTCGCAAGCCATGAAGCCCTGAGTTCAAACCCCAGTCCCACCAGGGGGGGGAAAAATTGCAGGGAGATTTTTAGAAGGGAAATAGGAGTGGGATGGAAGAGAGGGATAAGAAAAAGTAATAGGAGGAAATATATACCATGCATGTATGGAACTACCACAATAAAACCCCTAACATTGTACAATTAGTATGCACATCATACATATACAGTTTTTTTAAAAAGTCCATCTGGTAACTGTACTGACTTTGATTCTCTTTTTTTGGCAGTACTAGGGGCCTCACACTTGCTAGGCAGGCACTCCAACCATTTGAGCCAATCCTAGTCATTACTGTTACTATTTCTTACACATGGCAGTGACTACCTAAGCCCAAATTATTTAGCATTTAATAGGTAATTACTATGTGCCATATAATATTCTAAGTACTTTACAAAAATCAATTCAATATGTGCCAAATTTTAAGTATTTATAATCAGAAGTTAAACAGATTCTATTTCTCTCTTCTTGTAAACTTTTTCCCTTTTTTTTGGATGGTACTGGGGATTGAACTCAGAGCCTACACCTTGAGCCTCTTCACCAGTTCTTTTATTTTTGTTGTTGTTGGTTTTGTGAAGGGGTTTTTAAAGATAGGGTCTCAAACTGTAATCCTCCTGATCTCTGCCACCTGAGTAGCAAGCATTACAGGCGTAACCCACCAGTGCCGGGATCTTCTTGTAAATTCTTGATTTATCTACAAGGTCTACTTTCTCACATCCTACTTACTAACTCATATTTAATCTAAAAAAGTCCTTTATATTTCTACCAATGACTTTAAAACACCTAAAACTAATATACATTTTCCATTTGTTCATTCTAGCTGTGTTTCATTATTTTTTTTTTTTTGGCAGTACTAGGATTTGAACTTAGTGCCTGCTAGGCATACACTCTACCACTTGAGCCATACTTTCAGCACCTTTTTTATTCTTAAAATAATCTTACTGCAAAAATTATGCATATTTGCCTCTCTTTATCTCCACTACTTAAGGCCCTTTATTGATCTCTCATAATTTTGGGGTTTTTTGCTGTTTTTTTTAATTGACAGTGTAAGCAGCCCAGGCTGGCCTTGTTCTCCTCTGCCTCTGCCTACTGGATGTCAGAAAACATGCCCAGCTCCATCCCTTTATGTGAACCTGGCCCTAGCCTATCCCTCAAATCTCAAATTTTACCTTCAACCCATATTCCACTCTCCTCCTCAAAGAAATGTTCTCAAGTTTTTTCCCTCTGTGTTTCATGTATGTATGTTTTCCCAATGACATACTTTTATCCATCTCAGATGGCTAACTCCTATTTATCCTTCAAGTTTCAGCTTCCATATCACTCATTTCTTTATCTGTTCCCACAGCATGCTGTACACTTTTTTTTTCCTCCCCTTTATATTATTGACCAAACTTCTACAGTCACAGACTCTGTGTGGTCTTCCCTGCAAGGCAATGTCTCTCTGCTACTTAAAGTGCCTCACACTAAAATGTGCACTTAATATTAAGGTAAACCTGACTGGAGATATGGCTCAAGCACCTACTCTGCAGGTGAAGCCCTGACCTCAAACCAGTTCCACCAAAAAAAAAAAAAAAAAAAACTTGACTTAAAAAAAAAGCCAGGGGCCAGTGGCTCATGCTTGTAATCCTAGCTACTTGGGAGGCATAGATGTGAAGGAGGATTAAGGGCAGCCCTGGCAAATAGTTCTCCAGACCCCATCTCAAAAACACTAAAACACACACACACACACACACACACACAGTAGGTGGAGTGGGTCAAGTGATAAGAGCACCTGCCTAGCAAGAGTGAGGCCATGAGTTCAAAACCCTGGTACTGTAAAAAATAAACAAACAAACAAATAAACAAAATAAGGCGAACCTGGTATCATAGGGGTAAACAGTATCTCTTTCAAATATAGTGAAAGTCAGACTGGCGGAGTGGCATAAACAGTAGGAGCATCTGCCTAGCAAGCATAAGGCCCTGAGTTCAAACTCCTGTGCCGCCAAAAAAAATTTTATGTACATATATACACATGCATACACGTGTATATATACATATACCTAAAGTCAAGTTAAGACTTACAGGGCTATGTACAACAACTATTTCTTTGTAACACATATAGGCACAAATTTCACCTCATAAAGATGCAAAATCACCACTGCCATTAACATGAATGACTCAAGGAAGTCGCAGCATTGTATAATCTAAAACAAAGTAGTTCAATATTCTCAACAAGATTGGAAAACAGTATTAAACTATTACTTAACATGCCAAAAAGATTACAGCTTAGGCTACAAATGATCTCAGAATGGATGAATGTATATATTGGGGCTTTTTTTGTTTGTTTTGTGATGCTGGAAATTAAACCTAGGGCCTTGTGCATGCTAGGCAAGATCTCTACCACTGAGCTACATCACAAATCCTGTACCTTCTTAAGGAAAGAGTCAGTTAAACATGATTCTGCACAGATACATATGCAAAACCAAAGACAGAACAGGACCAAGAAAAGTATTATACTAATTTTTACTCTATAATCTACACTTGGTAAAAAACTGGATTAGAAATGACCCAATAAAGAAATTTATTCTTCAAGAGGACATTAACCCTAGATTGTAGGAAAAAATGGCCACTCAATTATCCATCAATACAGACGTTAAGTAACCATCTTATAAGCAGTTTTGGTCTTTGGTTTTGTTTGTCTTTGGAGTGCTGGGGTTTGAACATAGTGGTAGAGCCAGGAAAGAGTTCTACAAATTGTCACACCGTCAATCCACTGGGGGTACCGTGCGGTGTGCTGAGAAAGGGTTTTATATGTAACCCAGGCTGGCCTTGAACTCATGGTTCTCCTGCCTCAGCCTCCCAAGTGCTGGTATGACAGGCGTGCAACAGCATGTCTGGCATATAGTTTTGTGAGATCTAACACTCTATCCAGTGTTTCTTTCTCACTGCTTTTTTATTAACTCCCTCCTTTCATAGATTTCCTCACTGGGTTCTCAAACTCTATGTTACCAACAAGCACTCCTGAACACTATTGTATTCCTCTATACCCAACTCATATCCCCTCCATTCTACCACTTTTTTCCCCATAGTCCTGCCATTTCTGGACATTAAGAAAAATACAGAACCAAAAGAACTTGGTAGGAATGAAGTATAAAGAGCAAGTAACAGTACAGTAACACATGCACTATTTGAGTTATATTTAACTGATCATAAAACATGTAAGAGATGGTTAGTTATAGCAAGTAAAGTCTCCTTATTTTCACATAAGAAATGAGTATCAGTACTATCTGAAAACTTCAGATAGGGAACATTCAAAGACTAAAGACTATACACACAGAAGATACTAAATGCTATCAGACAGAAATAAAGGGAACAATTTTTTTTATGGTACTAGAGTTTGAACTCAGGACCTCACACTTGCTAGGCAGGAGCTCTTACCACTTGAGCCACTCCACCAGCCCTTTTTCGTGTTGAGTATTTTTGAGATAGGATCTTGAGAATTATTTGCCAGGGGCTGGCTTTGAACTACAATCCTGATCTCTGCATCCCGAGTAGCTAGGATTACAGTGCCTGGCTAAAGGGGACAGGGGACAATTCTTAATTATCTATACTGGCAACTATCAGTAGTATTCTTATCTCTTTCCACAAGATGCATCCTACAATTCATTCACTCTTTAGTTCAACAAACATTTCAGTTCCTATTTCAAAGTAGATGTGAGTTCACATACCCATCAGGAACGTTCAGTTTGAGAATGAAACTCAAAGACATTACGTTATTTAAAAAGCTGTAACTCAACTTATTACACAAAATAAACCTTTATCTTAAACATGCATGCACAGGCAGAATGATCATTAACAATTATTGGAACTGGTATTTACTATTCAATTTTACACATAAAAGTATATTTATAGCTGGAGATGTAGCTCAAATGGTAGAGTACCTGCCCTAGTAAGCACAAAGCCCAGGGTTCAAACCCCAGTACCACAGAAGGAAAAAAAAAAAAATGTATACTTATAAAGCAAAGGAAAAAGAGGAAAATTCATAACCTGATTTCCCACACAAGCGAGGCAAATCACTGAGATAATTCTAATATAATGGTTTTTCTCACTAGCAGAAAATGTAAAATTTACTCTAGAAATAATATTGGTTGTCCACAATCAAATTCCTTCTACATTATTTCAGCTCATTCAAATGTATTACTTTCTTTGTCTGAAAGTAAACCTTCTCTTCTGGTCAGTAGTTTATTGCAGAATAATAAAATATTCCGTGTCTAGCAAGTTTAAGGACCTGAGTTCAAACTCCAATACAGCCTTAAAAAAAAAAAAGGAAAATAATCTGTATCTATGTTAAAATAAGTGAATGTAAATATTTAATGTTTTCTCAAGTTTTAACTACAGCAGTATAACAGGTCCCTGCCCCCCCCTTACCTCAGGAAGATACATTACAGGACCTCTAGTGGATGCCCCAAAACGAAGACAGTATTAAACACTATGTACACTATGTCTTTCCTATCCATGCACATTTATAATAAAGTTTAATTCATAAACTAGGCAAAAGATTGTAACAATTAATAAAATTAAAACATTATACTTCTAATGTTATTTAAAACTTAGGAATTATTCTGGAACTTTCCATTTAATGTTCCCAGACATAGGATGACCATAGGTAACCACAGAAAACAAAACTGTGGGTAGAGGGGCTCTACCATAATATGGCAAAGTCCCTAAAACACCCAGTACCAGGCAATTTCTTTGCAGGTATTATAGAAAATAAAGGCAACGCCTTATGAGACATAATTCACACAATTAAAGTGCACGACTTCACTGAGATGGGGGTATAGCTCAGTAGCTCAATGGTTGGCATGCACAAGGACCTTGGTTATATTGCCAACACCAAAACAAAAAAAAGGTGGGAGCCACACCTTCATAATATTTAGTATATTCATAGTTGTGCAACTATCATGTTAATCTCATTTTTGATCTTTTTAAAATTGCCTCAAAAGAGGTAATGTGCAAAGCTCTGTTTCTTACTTTTTTTTTTCCTTTGTTACTGGAGTTTGAACTCCACACTTTAGCGTTTGCTAGGCAGGTGCTCCGGCATTTGAGCCATGCCTCCTAAGGCCCTACAATTAATTCCCCTTCGCTGGGAGGGGAGGGAGTAAATTTAATCAAAGTACATTATATGCATATATGGAAATATCACAATGAAACCCCTCTGTGTAACTAATATATGCTAATAAAATAAAACAAAAAAAAGTAACCCTACAATCATCAGCAGATACTTTCTCCAACCCATGTTCCCCATCCCTCAACAGGCACCCATCTACTTTTTGTCTCTATATATTTACCTTTTCTGCTATTTCATACAACTAAAATCATACCACGTACGGTCTTTTCTGTCAGGTTTCTTTCATTTAGGAAAATGTTTCAAGGCTCCTGGATGTCAAGCATTTCTCAGTACTTCATTACTTTATACAACCAAGTGGTATTCCATGGTATACACATAACACATTTTCTGTATCCATTCTTTAGTTGATGGAGTTTGGCTTGCTTCCACTTTTTTTTTACTATTATGAGTGGTTGTAACTTAATGGCTTAATGCTAGCAAACATTTACCAAGTACTGGCTCTGTACAATATAAGAATAACATAATACATGCTTAAGTATTATGTTAAATCTCAGGCATCATCAGTTATTCAAGGTATTATTTTAAGTACCCCTGAGAAAGAAAAAAATTATTAAATTATGATATGCCATCCACAGAAAGATGCACCCTGGTTTGAGAATGTTAAAAACGTGAAAAAATGTTCCAGAATTATTGATGTTCTTTACATGGGTTTGTTCTTTAATCTCTGTAATCCTAAAGATTTTAAAACAAATAAGGAAATGAAGCACACAGTCATTAGAAATTTTGCCTCAAATTACAAAGCTATTAAAATGAAACCAAAAGACTTGAACTCTGGTTGACTGTTGCTGTACAGGTATATCCATGGCTTCATTCCTTCCCTATCTATCAGGACCAGAAAAGCAGAGCCCACTAATTTAACACATGGGCTCTCAAAGTCTTAACACAATCTGACCTCTACTTAATCTTTTAAACTTCAGTTACTTCATTTATTAGAGCTATCATAAATACTCTTTCAGGAAAGACACGTAAGTCTTAGCACAAACAAAGTGACAGGCACTCTACCACTTGAGCCACTCTACTAGCCCTTTTTTGTGTTGGGTATTTTCAATATGGGTTCTCTCCAACTATTTGCCTGAGGTGGCTTCAAACTACAACCCTGATCGCTGTCTCCTCTGAGTAGCTAGGATTACAGAAGTCAATAACCAGCACCTAGCTGTTTTTTGGGTTTTGTTTTTTTTTTTTTTTTTAAAGAAAGGACCTCACATGCATGAGGCCCTGAGTTTAATTCCCAATACCACAAAAAAAAAAAAAAAAGAAAAAGAAAAAAAAAAGGTATTGCTATGTAGCCCAGGATGGCCTCAAACTCAAGATTCTCCTGCCTCAGCCTCCCAAGTGCTAGAATTTGGTGGGACTCACAACAGGCTTGTATCAATTTGTAAACCAATAGGATAAGTGAATAAATTCCTGAACACTCTGAGTGACCATTACTATATGTTCAAGAACATTATACTATTAAGAATTACAGATGATACACAGGTATGAAAGACATGGTCCTTGACTCCAGACCAAAAAAATCTAGTGAAAGACATTTGCCCAAAATAATACAGGAATTGCTACTGTATGTTGATACTATGTAAATTATATAAAATACCAGTGAGAAGAGAGAAACACTTTATGGGTACAGCTTACTGGAGGAAGTGTTATTTTCCCAGACTTCCAAAGAAAACTAGAATTTCAAACACCAGGGATAAAGCTACAAGTGAAAGTGACATTGAGGCACAAAACAATAAACATCATCTACAAGCAGCAAATAATCAATGCTGAAAAATGAGACCCATCTTGTGGGTGGAAATGGTAGAAGATTAAAGTGAAAAATAAAGTTGGGGTTAGGTTGTAGGAGGCTTTAAGTATCAAGGTAAGGAATTTAGACTTTCTTAACAGAGCAAGAAAAGGATGATGATCCAAACTGCTCCTTAGGAAGACCAAGCATGAGTAGGAGTGGCAAAGAAGGAAAGGTGATTAAATAACAGGCAAAACAGGGAAGTAATAAAGTCGAATACCTAAGCTAAAGTGTTGACAGTAGCAAAAGCAGAGATATAAAGGAAGCGTTTTGGGACTGGGGGCATGGCTCACCTGCCTAACAAACATGAAGCCTAAGTTCAAACCCCAATACTGTCAAGGGGAAAAAAAAATTGAAATTAAGGAAGTGGTTCAATCAAAAACTAAAAGTTTTTGGCTAGGTCCACTTGTTATACCTGATCCTAGGATATGAATATTCTTACCATTCATCACAGCTGCAATTACTTCAATTACTAGCTTATTATTATTTTCTAGTGCAAGAATGTTTGCTCCACGAAAACAGGGACAGTGTAAGGCTTGCTGCTATACTATGCCTTTGGCACATAACATTCAATTTTTTTCTTCTTTGCACAAGGTGCTTGGGATCAAACCAATGACCTTACACATTAGGCAAGCATTCTATACCTGAGCTACATCCCCAACCCAGTTTTTGAATGAATACACTCTTCCCAAAAACACAAACTTTATTGAGGCAAAGAACCTCTCTCTTAAATCTGGGGATATTACAAACTTTCCAGACCTAGTATCTGAGCCATTGTACATGTGTATTGTATTCCATTACAGATCCATTACTGGCTGCCTTTGAGTAAGTTTGCTTTCATTCTAATGTCAGAAGCCATTTACCATTGCCTGAAATCTTACCCAGATTAAATTTCTGCCCAGTTAACAACACATAAGGCTATAACTTTAAGAAGCACTAAATAAAGCACTAATAAGAAATGTATTTTGAAAGTTCATGCACACGAAAAAGGTTTTTACAATACCTTAGGGGGGTTAAATGGATATGTTTCTGGTATTTTTATCTCTAGTTGGTATCTTCCTCCTAAAAAAAGGGGAGAAACAAAAACTGATGCTCAAAGAACTTTTCAAAACCTCTACTGTTTCATATTCAATTACAGCAAATTAATTTTAGAGTTGAAATCCACAAAAGAAATAAAAACCGTTAAAGATTACCTATTTCATATAGCTATATTAGTTTATCCAAGAGTCATACAACTAGATATATATAAATACATTAAATTTACAGATAATGCAATGCCAAGTGTTTCATTAGGACAACTAACTACTAGTACAGTCTTTTGTTTCCTCTACTCCACCCTGGTAAAAGTTCCTAAGTAACAGGGAAAAATTAAAAAGGCAAGAAGATATAAAGGAATAGACGGTACATACATACACAAGAGATAATGAACTGAAAAAAAAAATCTACTTTTGGCAAGTTCTCTTAAAGTTTCAATCTTTCAACTTATGCCTTAAGTTAAATACCAACATGTTTTGTTGAATATTTAAAAACAAAATCCAGTGATAAGACAAAAGACAGGCATTCTTCTCCTCTAAATGGGTTCACAGAATGCAAAATTTTACAAAGAAGTTGTCTTAACCAGTAATACTGTATATAACAGAAAGCAGCCAGGAGCCAGTGGCTCATGTTTGTAATCCTAGCTACTCAGGAAACAGAGATCAGGAGGACTGCGGTTCGAAGCCAGCACCGGCAAACAGTTTGTGAGATCCTATCTCAAAAACACCTAACATGAAAAGGGCTGGCAGAGTGGCTCAAGGTGGAGGCCCTGAGTTCAAGCCCTGGTTCCACAAAAGAAGAAAAAAAAAAAAAGAAAAAGAAAAGAAATAACACCGTTTTGTATGGAAGTTATCTTGAGCAACCAGCAGCCAAACAGGCACTTATAAAAACTTTTGTGCCTTCTTATTAACTGCTTCTCAGGAAATTGTGAAGGGGGCAGTCTTGTACTAGACTAGAGGCTAGGCCAGAATGGATGCTTACCTGAGTAACTTTTCAATGATAAGATTGTATGATCCATCAACATACAATATTTACTACTGAAAAACGTTGCAGATAAAGCTGTGGTGCTGAAATACTTACAAAACTAAGGGCTTGTGCCTCATAAAACCAAGATACAGACTAAAACAAAAATTGGCCATGAGTTGATACTTATTAAGGTTGGCTGATTAAATACACGGAGGTTTTATTATATTAATGTTTTATATATACACACATATACATATATATATATCTGAAATCTTCCACACAAAAAGTAATATGAAAAGTATAAAAAAAGGAAAAAAAGTAATATAAAAATAAAAACTGTGAGCTAGGGTATTATCATCAAAATTCTATAAACTCTTTAAAAAATTCTGTAATTCAGCTCATGAAAACTCAAGCGGGGAACCTTCCTCAAGATATTCTGGATTCTCTCAAATCCACCTCTCTCCCTTGTTATGAATGGATAACTGTGGATCTTGGGAGAGCATTTCACTTGGTATCACGTTCTTCAAAGATTTTTTTTTTTTTTCTTTTTTTAAAGGCAGGATCTCTCTATATAGCTCAGGCTCAAGCTTTGAGATTCCCTTGCTTCAGCCTCCCAAGTGCTGGGATTACAGACGTACACCACCACACCCAGCCTTCAAGGACATTTTTAGTTCCAATTCTTCTCAAAATTTTTTAAAAGAGTGCTCTCTATTAAATAATACATGACTTGACTGCCTGAATCTCAGAACATATTGTAGCAGTAAAACAAACAGAAAAGTAAAATAAAAAGTAGGTAAGAGAAGATACCTAAGGAAATTTTGTAAACACAGAGTTAACTACATTCAGAATTATAAATACTAGCTTCAAAGTCAGGTGTAATAAATGGGCAAGTAATATGTAGGCTCTTATTTTCCCTTCCTAAGAATCTCTCTTTGCTTGGTTTACTTTAATATTAACATCTCTATAATCTGTCATACAATGTTCTTTTCTCTTGAATGTCCAAAAACAACTTAGGAGCCATGCCAGAGCCCAGAGATATTATATAAATACTGGTGGCCCCTAGAGTCTATGTTCTATCATCTTTGTCTTCCATTATTACCTGACAACTTTCAATATGTAACCACTGTAGAATTAGCCATAACACCACAGTCATGTACCACTTAAGGATTGGGTATGTTCTGGCAAATGCATCAGTAGGCACATTACATCATTTGACAAATATCACAGAATGTCACAAGGCAATGTAATCTTAAAGAACCACCGGTATAAAGGTGGCATGTCACGACCAAAAGTGTCATATAATCAGGGTACATTAACTATAATACCTTCAATATAGAACATTTACCCTTTAAAAATAGCTTCTTCTTGTTGTTTCTTTTGAGGTTTTTTTGTTGCTGCTGTTTGCTTATGAAGAACCTGCTATGCTGCCCAGGCTGGGCTTGAACTTCTGAGCTAAAAGATTCCTCCTTCCTGCCTGCCTCATCCTCGAAAAAAACAGGAATTGTGGAGATGAGCCACTGTACCCAGCTTTAAAAATAGCTTCCAGGGCTTGGGAGATAGTTCAAATGGTAGAACAATTACCTAGCATGTACAAGGTCCTGGGTTTGATCTCCAGCACCAATAAGTAAGTAAGTATCTTCCAATATTAAAGATTTATTAACTTCAACTAGGCATCAGTGGCTCATGCCTGTAATCCTACCTACTTGGGAGGCTGAGATCAGGAGGATCTCAGTTTGAGGTCAGCCAGGACAAATGGTTCTCAGGACCCCATCTCCAAAATAATCACAGTAAAATGGACTGGAGGTGTGGCTCAAGTGGTAGAATGCCTGCTTTGCACGTGGGAAGTCCCGAGTCCAAGCCCCAGTACCACAAAAAAATAAATAAATAAAATAAACTTTAAAGTTAACTTACTCCAAAGGGGAGGAGGAAGAGAAGAAGAAATGAGAATTTCTGAACTATCGACAATAATTCCATAAACTTTTAAGTAAAAAAAGACTCAAGAACTAAATTGTTCCTTTGCTACTAAGTTATTTATGCAAAAGAAAACTGAGCTAAGCATCATGCAGTATGTCAATTTTTCCATGCAATATTCTACCACCCAATCTGATTATTTTTAATACATAAAATGGCTTCCTCATTAATGTCATAAACAGTTCAGCATTCCATATGTAAACTTTGCTCTCATTTTTAAATTTAGACCAAAAACAAAAGGAAGAAATAACACTTGCCCAGCATGAAAACACTGGGTTTGACTGACAGCACAACTTTGGGGGGGTGGGGAAGCCTCAAAAGGTAGCAAGACCTCTGCAATAAGCAATGTCAAAATATTTGATCCATTTCTCTATTAGAAATAAAAATTTATACCCATGAACGATGCTTTTCCTAAACAAAATGAACAACTCTTTCAACAGCTTCGTGAATTCAAGATAATCTCAAGTATATACCCAAAAAATGCATTAAAACAAAAGCAACAGCAGAAACAAAGCACTTAAAATAACCAACTTACCTCTAATATCTCAATCATTCTAAAAACAAGGATACATTAAAAATTCATCTACTCTATAAAGACCTGCTAAAAAAAAAAGAGCAATGAACATTCTATTTACCTATCTATTTAGCTCAAGAAACGCCTTGTTTCTAATATATACATTGCTAGAAGAACTCTATAGATTCACAATGCTACTGCCCAACTACTCTTTTGGGGTTTTTTGGGGTGTGGGTTTTGGGGGGAGAAGAAGCACTCAAGATTGAACTCAGGGCCTTGGACTTCCTAGGCAGGTACTCTACCATTTGAGCCATATCCCAGTCCTGCCCTACTGTCTTAAGAGACATCTAAACAACCTGTAAAGGCAATCAAATGATTATGGGGCTAGAATGTAGCTGTTGATACAGTGTTTGCCTACCAAACATGAAGCCTCAGATTGTACTCCCAGCACCACCCAAAAAATAAAAAAAAATTACAGCCAAGCACCGGTTGTTCATACCTGTAATCCTAGCTACTTGGGAGGCTGAGGTCAGGAGGATTGAGGTTTGAGGCCAGCCCGGAAAAATAGTTTGCAAGATGCCATCTCCAAATTAAGCAGAGCAAAATGGACTAGAGATGTGGCTCAAGAGGCAGAGTGCCTGCTTTGCAAGTACCAAGTCCTAAGTTCAAATATCACCTCACCCCCACCCCAAAAAAAAGAATATTAGTTTTTCCTGTTATTTTTGGGTAACTGTTCATTAGAGAATTATAGAACCACCACGTTCAAGGTAATCACAGCCATGACTTGTAATATTTAGTCGATCCTAGTTCACTAAAACAGAAAGTGATTATAGTCTTTGAAGCCAAAAGCTATCAGTCAAATCACAGCACTTCCACTTCAATATCTGACCTTAAACAACTTATTTAACTTCTCTGAGCTTTAAGTTTCTTCATCTATGAACCAGTGTAACTGTACTTACCTCAGAGGATCTGTTGTAAGGAATGAATGAGAAAATACATGTAATGATCTTACAAGAGCCACCACATATTCTACTATATGCTTTCTATTAAATATTTCTATTAAACAAGTATTTAAAGGAATCTTGGTTTTCCTCCATGATCCAAACTTACAATATTCATTCATGAAGGTTTGCCTAAAAAGAAACTGAAATGCTGAAAAGCTGTTTCCTGCATCATATCCCCAATACTATGTTTTAACATAAAATAGCTACAAAGTATTTGTGAATGTAAAAAAGCTGCCTTTCTTAAGATAATCACTTAACACTTTCCAAAATAAAGAATATTAAGTATTTGGACTATAATCTACATGAAGACATGAGCAAATAATACGATGATAAACAGGGAAGAGGAGCGTTGAAAACAAAAACATTTTATTAGTCAGAAATTTGTCAAGGTTTGATATAAATACCATATGAAGGGTGACTGAGTGTCCGCAGTCTTATGTATGACAGAGGCTTAACATTCAGTTTTATTCTATTAAACGCTAACCTGCATGACCTATAACTGGGTTCTGCAAAATCTAGGGGAAACAAAAAAATTAGCTAAAGTTCAGTAAGAAAAATCAATCTAGGTAAGTGATTAAATGTATTATTTTAAAAACTACAGGATATCCCTAAGCCAAATGAAATTACCCTTCATGGAGTTTATAGATGCTCAAGATAATTCTGATTTTGTATTTCAGACACATTTTAATATGCACAATATTTTGACACAGAAAAAAGTACTTGCCTTCATATGGTGTGTCTGGAGGTCCTGCTATTTCTCCTCTTAATTCTGTAAAATTCTCATCTACAAGATCTACTTTAATTTGATTTTTGCTCGTCTTAAAAATAAACAGAAAATAAATGTTAGTTAAGTCATCAAGAAAAAAGCCTACTTTAAATATTATCTATAAAAAATTCTGAACCCCCCTTTCATAGATTTATCTACTCTAGTAAAAATAAACATTCTGTGATTTTCTAGGACTTAATTAGCCAGTTTTAAAAATATTTACTAAGAAATTTTAACTTCAATGTTTTAGTAAATTAATACCACTTTGAACAATAGTACGATGACTTATTGACATTATAGGATTGTATTAGAGAAAAATAGTAAACAACGTATTTTAAGTTTTCCAGCTCCATGTGTGTGAGGTCCAAAGTGATTAAGTGTGATCATTTGTAGATGGCTGCTGAGATGCTGTATCTGCAGGCTAGGGGAGGGTCTGTCCACATCAACAGAAAATCTGGTCATTAAAAGCCATTTAAGCCATCAGCTCTCACTTGAATTAATCATGACAATTCTAGATATTAACTGAACTACTATACCACCCACCAGAATGGTGAAAGCTCTAAGCATTTAATCAATTTTCCTTTCCATGGCCAATTCTCAAAGCATAAATACCTCAGGAGAATCTTCTAATGCCTCCTTTAATTGCTTTTCTGCTTAGTTTACTTCAATGGCAACTACCTACTACCTAAAACTGATTTCTTCTTTACCTGAATCTACTTACTTTGCACTTAATGCTTCCCAAAGCACTTTGGTATCTATAGTATCCCTCAGTGTCTTACTCTGTAACAGTCTATTCTGAGTCATGGTGACCTTAAATGATTCAGAAAACCATCCAGTGTGATTCACATTAGCATTCCCAAGTACCTACCTGCCTGCAAATAGGGTCTCCATTTGTATTCAAATATCTGTGCTAATATACTATAGGTCTATATTCTATATTCCTAATAAGAGTAAAATCTTACCCTTTTCTCAATTTAAACCTAAAGCCCAGTGCCTCACGCCTGTAATCCTAGCTACTCAGGAGGCAGCGATCAGGAAGATCATGGTTCGAAGCCAGCCTAGGCAAATAGTTCCTAAGATCCTATCTCAAAAATACCCATCACAAAAAGGGCTGCTGGAGTAGCTCAAGGTGAAGGTCCTGAGTTCAAGTCCCAGTACCACACACACACAAAAAAAAAAAACCCTAAAGAACTGGTATACAAGTTATGTTTTTATGTTTTCTTAGGATTCAATATTTTTACAAAAGTGACACATTTCTACTTTTATGGGGAAAAAAGCCTCAGACAAGATTACAATAGTAATTTTTGTGCTTTTGGACCACCTTTTTAAACGTGCTTACTAAATGGATGGTGTAACAATTACTGTTTTAAGGTTCTTGGCTTTTCTTTTCAACCTCCATTAAGTGATGCCAGCAGTTTTACTTTTTGTTTACAAAATATTTCTAATATAGAAAATGTAACTTACATATAAAAATATGTAACTTATAACCTAAATTTAAAATGTCATGACTCCTAATTAATATAACATAGGATTTAAAAACTTACATGAATTTTTAAAGCATTTTAATTAGTAGTGGCTTACTTCATAACATCTTTCATGTTTGGGATTAAACCATTTCATATTTTTATTGAAAAAGTGAAATTTCATTATAAATATGCATTATGAGCAACTTCTTCCTTTACCCTAGAAAATCAGTATTCTTAGTATTTATGGTAGAGAAGGAAATGTACTTTTAGCAAAAGTAAAAGTATTTTATCCAAAGGGTGCACAAGAATGAGTAACATGGTACAGTGCCTGCCTAACAATCATGATGTCCTGAGTTCAAACTCCAGTACCACAAAAAAAAAACAAAAAAAACCTACTGAATACTATTAACAAAACTAGAGGCATTTGACTTTAGCTAACCAATTTAAGAAACCACAAGTACTAACTACATACTTAAAATTTCTGCTCCCAAATTTTCTAATAATAATAACGCTCATCATTCCACAATCAATCTCCTCTCCAAAATGAAGTGAATAATCTTTTTTTTGGGTGATAAAGGGGTTTGAACTCAGGACCTTACCCTTGCTAGGCAGGCTCTCTATAGCCTGAGTCACTTCCCCAACCTAAAAAGAAGTAAATAAAACTAAATTGTAAGGATACAAAAGAAGGATTAAAGTTTGGGGGAAGGACGGAGGAGATAATGCAGATTAGAAAAGTTGCTTTCCAGAACAGACCAATTAATCTCAGTGAGATACTAAATATTTATTTTTAAACCTTTGTCATTATTTCTGTTCACATTACTCCCAAATTATAATTCAGAGAAGAACTGGATCTTTTTTTTACTCTAGAGAGAGAACACTAGTGAATGAAAAATTTACTAAATCAGCTCAAGAAAATACAATAGTCACAATGAATCCCAGTATAAAAGAGGCATTTGACGTGGTCTAAAGTAGGGTTTTTGTCTGCAGGTAACTAAAGATAAAAGAAAGTGAAAAGTTAAACACAAGGATTCTTCACAGCTCAATTTTCTACCAAGTAATGATCATCCTTTATACCTCCAGTTTGATTGAAACATCCAATTATTTCACAATCTAAAACTCAAATCCTTCTAAGACTACAAACTAACTTAAATCTCAGCTTAAGACTCAAGAACATAAGACACGAAAAATGGCAAAAGATGACAGCATCAGAAGGTTTGGCCTTTAGAGTAAAGACAGTGGTGTGCTGAATACTAGTTCTGTTGCTTACTTGTGGTAATAATCGGTATGTCATTTAACAACTAAATCTAATTGTTGCTTAACAATGTTTGATTTCAAAGCCTTATGTCATAAAACTTATTTCACAATTCTGTTGCCAGTCTAAGAGAAAGGAAATGTAATTTCTAAAAATAAGTAACAAAACAACGTGTTAATCATTTTAATGACTGCAACAACTGAAGAGGCTGAAGTTTTGGGATGAAACCTTGACGAATGGTGTTATTTTGGCACTATGTATTTTGTGAGGATAGCTGCAAAGCTGTTTTTCTAGAACTTTCTTCCCCAAACAACAGAACTTCAGATAGTCTTTTTTTTCCTGATGTTCTCTTGGATCTCCAAAGCATTTAGGGAAAAAGAGATGAATAAAAGATATAACTCCAAGTAAACAATTTTTACAAGAACTATTTAAAGATGTAACATATATAATCATGCAAAATAGTACACAATGTTGAAGATAATTTGGATGAGGGAAAATAAATTAACATCAATGTTAATTGCTGAGAAACAGTGCAGCATTTAATGCAGTCCCAGGCTAGAGTATATTTCAGGGGCAAACATGTGCTTACACAAGTGTCAGACACTGGCTTCAATTCCCAGCCTCAAAAAAAAAAAGTTAAAGCAATTCTAATAGATCCAATGCCAAATCTCTTAGGAGAATCTCATCAAAATTATTTCCAATAAATACTGGGATCTATTACATGCAAGAAAGTGATCTTAAGTGTGGAATAATGACTAAGCCCTACCCTCTTAGAGGTTATGTTCTAGTGGTATAAACCAAAAATCAAGACATTTTTGCCATGTAAGTATTAAGTATACATACTAGTTATGTGACCTTGAACAAGTTCATTAACCATCGTGTGCTGAGCTTTATCCTGTCAATTTGGGATTGTATTACCTACCTCATGGAGTGAATGTGTGAATTTAACCATTTAATACAGTACATAAAGCCAGGCATGGGGGCACAAAACTGTAATCCTAGCTCTTAGTAGATGGAGGCAGGAGAATCACTAATTTTAGGTCAGCCTGAACTGCATATATACTGAGACACAGACTCAAAAAAAAAAAAATTGGAGAAACACAATTTCAATAAGGACTGAAACAGAATAGTCATTTATAACATGGAATATTTTGTTTTGCTGTTTTTTGAGACAGAGTCCCAATAAGTAGCCAAGTTGGCCTTGAACTTGTGATCCTCCTGCCCTCCAGAATACTGGAAATACAGATGAGTGCTGAGATTACAGCAGTACAATTCACACTCACTAATGATGTTTTTTGATAATGATGTTGGAGTAGAAAACTTCCACACCAAACAAATACTTCATTGTTTAAAAAAAAAAATTTTTAGTTCCAACATGGTGGTGCACACCTGTAATCCCAGCTACTTAAGAAGCAAAGGAAGGAGGATCTTGGTTGGCCAGCCCTGGGCAAAACCCCCAAGACCTTATCTAAAAAATGGCAAAGTTCAAAATAGGCTGGAGGTAGATGACTCAAATCAACTGTGTAACAAACTCGAGGCCCTGAGTTCAAACTACTGTATCACCCCTCAAAAGAAGAAAGAGAAAGGGAGACAGAAAGAAAAAAGAAAATTTATCACATTAGTCTCACTTTCTACTTACTCCTGAAAAATGTTATGAAACAAAATTTCAAATAAGACAACTATAATTCTAATTCATCTGGTAATAAAGAAATTACTAATTTGTTTTGTAGTCAAAATGACAACTATCAAAATTTAGGGAGCTGCCTATATATTCTCCATGCCAATAAGTGTGAAACTAATCTTCCTAATTTGTTAAAATGGCATAAGGCTTAACATTTACTGTTATTTTTTCAAATCTTAGTATGTATGATTTATTATTTCCCTGTTATCCAATGGCTCAAGAAATAGGCAAAATTTCTGCCTTTCTAAATATTTCTAATTTTTGTTTTGTGCTGGGGGAAAATCAAACCCAGGATCTCACCCCAGCAGTCCCTAATTTTTGTTTTGAATTCTGAAGCTTGGGGGTCATAAAACAAATTCTCAAAGCTTAAAACAAATTCTATGAGAACTAAGGAAGTGAGAAGATGGGAGAAGATGGAACCATGGAAACACATTTATGGTCCTTACTAAGTATAAGATGTAGATTAGTGCTGTCCAACAGAAACAAAATGGGAGCCACAGATGCATTTTTAACTTCTAAGAGCAAAAGGAAATAATATTAATTTTAATGATAAATTTATAAATCTCATTATATACAAAATATTGTAGACATATGTTAAGCATATGTTTTATATTTTTAAGCATATTAACATTTTTGGTACTAAGAATTCAAAA